TCAGCCAGTAAATTGCATTTCTTCTAAGCTGGATTGGTGGAGTCCTGTGGGACCTAAAAAGACCACATGGGGGAATCCGCTTGGAGCACCAATCTACAGTAGTGGCCAAAATTGTGGAAACCTTTTGGGAAAAAGTGTACAGGAGAAATGCCACCTTTGGTTAAGTTTCCACCCATTTTTCTTCTCATTTCTTTATAACTGTAGCCTTGTTCGCTTAATAATACTATTTTACATCACTTTCTAGGCAACCGGTCAACTCTTTGCATCGTTACTTTAATTTTATTACGTTTTAGAAGCTCGCTCAATGAAAGAACACCAAAAAACCCAACCAACTGGATAGTCATCACATAACACACTGACCAATGCCCTCCTCTCAGCTTCAATACAGGACATCAATAACTGAGTCCTACTGTGATCTGATTGGCTCATGACCAAAGCAAGATGACACCCGACTGGCTCTCTAAACACTCACGCTCATTGGCTACCATCGGATGAAGGAAAGCTCCCTGAGATCAACCTAAGCAAGTTGTGCTTCCTTTTTCTGGTTATTTGGCTGTAACTTTTCATAGAATACAGTACAGATAATCGAACAAACTTTGTTGCATTACATTCTTGATAAAAATTATCTTTCCATTGATATATAATTTTATGGTATTACTCTCCCCAAAAAGTGGTGTTATTAACCATCAAACCTCAAAAATACACTTTCCCCAAAAGATTTCCACAATTTTGGTCACTACTGTACAGAAGAGATCTGAAGGCATTTTGGAAAATAAACTGGAGAAATTTGGAACCCCATGTACTTCACTTTGCTCATAGAGCTGGGTAAACGTTGGCTTAACGTCTAGTTGCCCACGTAAGATGTGGATGGTGTAGCAGATCGCTATTGAGAGTGGCTAGTTATCTCCTGTATAATTAGCTATTCATCAGACATTATAACATAAGTAGATATTAATACATCTACACCTACTTCAGAGAAGTCTCTAATTTATATCCTCTTGTATCTTAAGGTATGTTGGTCGTGAGCCAGCTGCTGCTCCAGCTACAGGTAACAAAAACACTCACCTGGTCTCACTGCGGAGATTTCTGGATACAGCCTTCAACCTGGAGGCTTTTGAAGGGAAGACATTTTGATCTTCGTCCCGGGTTCTGCTGCTCCATTATCTAGAATGTGTGTATTTATGGAAGGAAGGCCGTGATCATAAAAAAGAAGTAAAAGCTAGTTGAGGGTTTCCGGTTTTTTAAAGCAGGGAAGCAGTCTTCTCTTTCAAAAGATTATCAGACTAGCTGTAGGTATGCTGTAAATGTTAGAAGCAACTTCTGATTCCGTTAATTTGGCTTTAAGAATGACAGCACTGCTACCTCTGAGTGAAGAGACAGCGTAACCCAAGTCTTGTGCTTTAAGACTGGGCCAGTCTTTGACAACTTTTTCATGATCTCTCCTTCTTTGTAAGCTTCCTGTATGTGTAAACAGGATATGTAGATTTAGCCAAAATTCTGTTTAGGTACCTAGATTACTCCTTAGGCTGGTGCTAAGAGAAAACCGTGCCCTGATTGTGTTCATCATCGCAGTCAACAAAATTGGCAAACGTTGCAAACAAAAAAAGATGCGCAGGTAAGACAGATATATTAAAAAAAATACAGTTGCAGAATAACTCGAACGTACCACATTGATAATCTTGCAAACTAGCTTGGAGTTTTTGATTTTTTTAAAAAAAGGGGGGGGGTCAAGAAAGCTGGCCAATATTGTGTTGCCCTGTCTGTTGTAAAATGTAATTGTGGTAATTGTAAGAATAATAAAATAGGCTGCATCAGAAATATTCCACCAGTATTTGATTCTATGGCGTCAAGTTGGTGTTGACTCTTAGCAACCACACGGAAACATACGGCAAGACATGTAGTGTTCTTCTTTAAAAAGCATTTCAAAGGGGATGACCGAAATGCAGCTTAAATAACGAGCGCACATATTTCACAAAGAAGGTCATCTCCACGGATGTTGAAATATTTTCTTGTCTTCCTTTCATTAATAAATGCTCTTGTAGCTGGGAACTGAGCAAAATTAACACAAGACATAAACATTTGAAAGCACAGCTTCCCGTTGTTGTTGTTTGTGGGTCAGATCCTTTCTGCTTTAAAAATAAATGTATCCCGGAAATGAAAAGTAAACTATAACATGTAAGGTCTGGTTTATTTGTGGTTTTATGACAGCCTCATCTTTATGGATTGATACTAGCATCCTGCTCACAAAAATACTGACCTCGATTATTATTATTATTATGGATCATCACACAGTCAGCCAGATATTCAGGATTTGGCATTTTGTCTACCTATCAAGTCCTTACCCAGGACCTGGGATAGGCAGATGTGGATGTTTTATGGTATTACAGGTATCGTCGCAAGATGGAAGCAGTTCCTAGTAAGGCCGCCTTTTGCAATTGACTAATGGCAAATTTGTCAATGCCAATGGTATTCAAGTGGTGCTCCAGTTGTTTTGGGATTGCACCCAAGGAGCCTATGACTATTGGTACTACCCTTGCTTGCTTTTGCCACAGTCTTTCTATTTCTATTTGTAGGTCTTTGTATTTTTGTTATCTTCTCCAGTTCTTTCTCTTCTATTCTGCTGTCTCCAGGCACTGCCACGTCCACTATCCAGACTTTTTTGTCTTTCTTATCGACAATTGTTAAGTCTGGGTGTTATGTTGCAGGTGCTTGTCTGTTTGAATTCTGAAGTCCCAGAGCAGTTTAATTTTATCATTTTCTATGACTTTCTCTATTTTATGATCCCACCAGTTTTTGCTTACAGGGAAATGATATTTTTTGCAGATCTTCCAATGCACCATTGTTGCTACTTTGTCATGCCGCTGCTTATAGTCAGTCTGTGCAATCTTCTTGCAACAGCTTACCAAGTAGTCCACTGTTTCTTCAGCTTCTTTGCATAGGTGGCACTTATTGTCTGTTGCTGTCTTCTCAATTTTGACTTTATATGCATTTGTCCTTAAGGCTTGGTCTTGTGCAGCCAGAATTAGTCCCTCGGTCTCTTTCTTCAATTTTCCTGCTCTTGTATTATTATTATTATTATTATTATTATTATTATTATTATTATTATTATTATTATTATTATCATCATCATCATCATCATCATCATCATCATCATCATCATCGATCATCGCACAGTCAGCCAGATGTTCAGACTGGATTTGGCATTTTGTCTACCTATCAAGTCCTTACCAAGAGTCTGGGGTACGCAGATGTGGATGTTTGATGATATTACAGATCTCGTCGCAAGACGGAAGCAGTTCCTAGTAAGGCTGCCTTTTTCAATTGACTAATGGCAAATTTGTCAATGCCAATGGTGTTCAAGTAGTGCTCCAGTTGTTTTGGGATTGCACCCAAGGAGCCTATGACTATTCGTACTACCCTTGCTTGCTTTTGCCACAGTCTTTCTATTTCTATTTGTAGGTCTTTGTATTTTGTTATCTTCTCCAGTTCTTTCTCATCTATTCTGCTGTCTCCAGGCACTGCCACGTCCACTATCCAGACTTTTTTGTCTTTCTTATCGACAGTTGTTAAGTCTGGGGTGTTATGTTGCAGGTGCTTGTCTGTTTTAATTCTGAAGTCCCAGAGCAGTTTAATTTTATCATTTTCTATGACTTTCTCTATTTTATGATCCCACCAGTTTTTGCTTGCAGGCAAATGATATTTTTTGCAGATCTTCCAATGCACCATTGTTGCTACTTTGTCATGCCGCTGCTTGTAGTCAGTCTGTGCAATCTTCTTGCAACAGCTTACCAGGTGGTCCACTGTTTCTTCAGCTTCTTTGCATAGGCGGCACTTACTATCTGTTGCTGTCTTCTCAATTTTGACTTTATATGCATTTGTCCTTAAGGCTTGATCTTGTGCAGCCAGAATTAGTCCCTCGGTCTCTTTCTTCAATTTTCCTTCTCTTAGCCATTGCCAGGTCTTGTTATTATCTGCTTTCCCAGCTACTTTTTTAATGTATTGGCCATGTAGTGCTTTGTCTTCCCATGCCTCTATTCTGTTCTTCATTTGGTCTTTGTTGTAGGCCAGTTTGGTCTCTCAGTAAGCCTTCCTGATATACTAATTTCAGGGCATCTATTATTATTATTATTATTCCATCCACCAGATGGATTTCTTCAAGGGCGATTCCTTGCACCATAAATGATTGAGTCTTGTGCCATGATTTAAATTTCAACTGAGAAAAGTCAAATATTGCACTGGACTAGAGTATTGTAAAACTCTTTCTTGGAGAGAGATTACTGATCACGGGTAGCCCCAAAGATGCTTTTTTCCAGAAGGCAACTGGGCTTGCTTGGTTCAGAATGGGAGAAGCTTCTTGGATGAGAAGCAGAATATTTTCAAAGAAAAAAAAAACCCAAGAAAGTCCGATTGCATTCTGGAAAAAAGCACTTTGGGGACCACTCGTGACCTGGATGTTTGGAGAAGCTCCATAGATATCAATCGCGAATAGCTTCACATTCAGCAGCATGGAAATATGGTGATCCTATTCCACACAGGAAACGAAAACCTTCTTCATAAACTATGTGTTATCGCTGCCAACATTGGATGTTCTTGCTTTGGCAACAAATGAAGATGCAGCCTTTTTCTTTCTCATGCTTTACTCTTAGAATTAGATGATGCTGGGGGAGGAGGCGGAACATGGTGGGAGTTAGTTAGACATAACAATATTGTGCTAGTGTGTGAATTCAGAGCTTGAAATAAGAGATGATAAGAATTGGCGGGTTGCAGAACAGGCGGGAAAGCCTGCATTTCAAACTAATTGGAGAATGTGATTTATGACTGTTAATTGGAGGAGGGAATTGTGCTTTGATACGGTGTGTTCAGGGGAGGGGAATCCAGTTTTTGGCTTCAACCGTGTTAGTGCCGATGCCATGCTTCTCAAATAAAGATACTTTAAGGTAAACAATGCCTCAAAGTTCTTTGAAGAGTTTCATCTGTCGGAACCATGATACTATGCTAATTCAGTAGAAATGTACAGGATATGGGTAGATTGTCCTTAATATAAAGCATACCGTACAATGTTGGAAAAGTCCTACTAGTAACGCAAGGCGCTCTGTCTACGGCCAACGACGGGTCAAGGTAGCAGATGAAACGAATAATTTTATTGCCATATTTTGGAGAGAAAATTACGCTTGCAATTCAACACTGGAAGTGTCCCCTCCTATCGTCGAATCCTGTTCTAGATGAATCTACGCTATCTAGAATGCTATAGTTATGGATTGATATGAGGAACTGATGACTTCCAATCTTCCAAGTACTGGAAACCGGAAACGGCGTGCAATGGTTATATTTTATTTATTTATGGTTGAATTTATTTGCCACCCAGCTCCTAGCAAACAACTCTCCATATGGCAGGAATGCAGTAGAAAGATGATTCTCATGAAGCTTCGACACACAGATAAGCAGTGCAATAATGCTTTGATTACCCCTCTCCCCTTGTGGACACGGTGATGATTCAAGCAGGTGAGGAACACTTCACAAGAGCAAGATGAGCATGGGAAAAAAAATCACAAGGACAAAAAGGCTCTAAATAATTAGATATAAAACAGAGACGTGATTAGTGAATTGGAGACCATACTGTTTTGGCATCGAGATTAAAAAAAACAGGAGTCTTTTTTTGGCCGTCATTCGTAAGAAATGAGCTTTTACAAAAACAGAGGGCAACAAAATGTCAGTAGGCTTTTAAGACTGCTTCTCGAGCTTCTTGGCAAAGAGGATCCAACTTTCCATCTCCTCCTGAGAGAGAGAGAGCACGTAATTAATAGATCAAAATCCACCGAACATCCGTGGATCTTGATTTGTTGCATTTCTCAGCAGCAAGTATATAATAATAATAATAATATGAGCCGAGGTGGCGCAGCAGTTAGAGTGCAGTACTGCAGGCCACTTTAGCTGACTGTGTTCAGCAGGTCAGCGGTTCAAATCTCACCGGCTCAAGGTTGACTCAGCCTTCCATCCTTCCGGGGTAGGTAAAATGAGGACCCAGATTGTTGGGGGCAATGTAAATATATATATACATTGCTTACTGGTGTACACCGCTTAGAGAGTGCTTGCACTTAAAGCGGTATATAAGTCTCATAAATAAATAAATAAATAAATAAATAAATAAATAGTAAAGTTGGAAGGGACCTTGGACGTCATCTAGTCCAACCCCCTGCTCAGGCAGGAAACCCTACACCATTTCGGACAAAGGGCTGTCCAGTTTCTTCTTAAAAACTTCCAGTGTTGGAGCATTCACCGCTTCTGGAGGCAGGTTGTTCCACTGGTTAATTGTTCTAATTGTCAGGAAGTTTCTCCTTAGTTCTAGGTTGCTTCTCTCCTTGATTAGTTTCCATCCGTTGCTTCTTGTCCTGCCTTCAGGTGCTTTGGAAAATAGCTTGATTCCCTCTTCTTTATGGCAGACCCTGAGATATTGGAATACTGCTATCATGTCCCCCCTTGTCCTTCTCTTAGTTAAACTAGACATACCCAATTCCAGCAGCCGTTCCTTATATGTTTTAGCCTCCAGTCCCGTAATCATCTTTGTTGCTCTTCTCTGTACTCTTTCTAGAGTCTCAACATCTTTTTTACATCGTGGTGACCAAAACTGGATACAGTATTCCAAGTGTGGCCTTACCAAGGCCTTGTAAAGTGGCATTAATACTTCGCGTGATCTTGATTCTATCCCTCTGTTAATGCAGCCTAGCACTGTGTTGGCCTTTTTGGCAGCTGCAGCACACGGCTGGCTCATATTTAGGTGATTGTCTACTAGGACTCCGAGGTCCCTCTCACAGTTACTACTATTGAGCATGGTGCCACCTATGCTGTACTTGTGCATTTGGTTCTTCTTGCCTAAATGTAGAAGCATACCTCTGAGATACTTGAGTTCAGGTTGATGCCATTGGCACTTACCAAAATCTAGATCGTTAATGTTGCACTGGAAGATGGTCTCTCCATTCACAATCAGCTGCACGTCGTTCCAATCGGGAATTTCCTCGAGAACGATTTGATGCCCGTCTGCTTTTAACACAGCTGCAGGAAAAGCACAGCAAGAAGAAAGCTGTTGACATCCACAGTATATGAAGGTCATCTCAAGATTAAATCACAAAATTAATAAGAATAATCATGATGACAGAGACCTGCAAACAGAAATAGAACGACTGCGGCAAAAGAAAGCAAAGGCAGTACCAATACTAATAGGCGTGTTGGGTGCAATCCCAAAACTTCTGGAGCACTATTTGAACCCCATCAGCATTGACAAATTCACCACCAGTCAATTGCAAAAGACAGCTTGACTCAAAACAGCTTACATCCTGTGATGATCCCTCTTAATATTATAAACCATCAACATCTGCATATCCCAGGTCCTTGGAAAGGACTGTCTAGGTCAGTGATGGTGAACCTTTTAGAGACCGAGTGCCCAAACTGCAACCCAAAACCCACTTATGTACTGTTGGGTGCTGGATGGGTGTGGCCCATTGGGTGGGCGTGGCTGCGGTGGTAACAGCAGACTGGGTGGGACTAGAAAGTTCAATCAATCAATTCCAACTTTGCGAGATCTTTTTTTTTTTCCTGCGAGAAGTTGAAATTGATTGAGTGATTGAACCTTTTTTTTGTTTTTTGTACAGAGGCAGAGGCCTAAAGCAAAAAGGTTTTATAAAACCCAACTGAAGGCCTAGGACTGGGGCGACGGCGCGCGTGGCTACAGAAAGGTCTCTGTGTGCCACCTGTGGCACCCGTGCCATAGGTTCGCCACCAGGGGTCTAGGTGGATAAAGATGCCAAATCCACTTGGAACATCTGGCTGACTGCGCGACAAAACAAGGATAGAGTCTTATTTTCCCCACCCTGGTCCAACTCCTTTCAATCTTCCCCCGTTAATTCGCTTTTTCTAAGTTAACGCCTCAACAAAACATGTCTTCATTGGAGAGTTGTGGGACTCTCAGAAAATCCTTGATGCTTCCTATCCGACTTGGAAAAAAGTAAGTCCGCTGGTGATTTCTCCCATGCTGTTAAACAGGCTTTAGATAGGTCTGTTCTGCTCATGGTTTATACATTTACACAGAACTATGGTTAGTGCACCTGTTTATTGGTTTTGCTGCCTAGTCAAATAATTTTAAAGACAGGCGCACGCGGCAAAAACAAAACCAAACGAAGCAGACTTTTTTTATTTTTAAAAAAAAAAGCAGGCACCTTGAGTGTCTCGTCCCAAAATAGACCTTTCTTTGGACATTGTCAGGAGTTAAGTTGACTTTCTATCCCAGTGGTTCTCAACCTTTCTAATGCCGCGACCCCATAATGCAGTTCCCCATGTTGTGGTGACCCCCAACCACTTATACATCACCGGGTGCCAGGGGCGTGGCAAAAGAAAAGGGGGGGAAAATGGCGGACAGCCTTGTTTGGCGACCCCCGTGCAATGGTCGTTCGACCCCAAATGGGGTCCCGACCCACAGGTTGAGAACCACTGTTCTATCCTCCTAGCCTTCCGCTAATTAAGGACTCTTAATTTTTATTCCAGCTACTGCAGATTTCTGCACCTCTAGCAACGGGCAAAAAACTGCATTTAGCAGGCAAAGTTGCTAATATCTTCTTCTTCTTCTTGTGCCATATCCATTATCAGACGTTGGCAATCCTGTTGGCGATCCTGTTTTTATCAGCAGCCGCACGAAAAAGTGCTGCTGAGTTTTGTCCAAATCAGCCCCTTAGATTTTGAAGTCACAATCTTCTTCTTCTGCCTGGACCTCGTTTGCCTTCAATCTTTCCCTGGAGGATTAAATGGAATATGCTGTATTTTTCTGGGTGTCGCATCACATGTCTGAAATATTCTAATTTTCATTAATCTTAGATTTTGAAACCGCGATGTTCTTCTTCTTTTATCTGCTGGCGTGGGTCCACTTCACGGCTAAATCAGTTCAGCCTTTCTCTACGAGCCAGCTGTGTCTTCCCCTCTGCCCCCTAGTTCTGAGGCTGAATTTTAATTTAGCTTCCTGATGAATGACAGGAAGTTTCACCAGCAAGAAGTCCGGTTAATTAAGCTCTTGAAGTTTGGGCAAATGCTTTGCTAGACTGGGAGAGATGTCTAAGATGTTCTTAGTGCTTTCTGGAGAGACTTAATGGGCTTGTGCAATTAGCAGAATGCAATAAAATAAACTCAAGGAAGTATCTTCCTCCTGTGCTGCCACTTCTCCCTGTCTTGTGACATTTTATTATTCTGCTTTCCCCAAAATAATAATAATGAAGGAGGAGGAGGAGGAGGAGATCACGTGAAGTATTAATACCACTTTACAATGCCTTGGTAAGGCCACACTTGGAATACTGCATCCAGTTTTGGGACTCTAGAACAATGGTTCTCAACCTGTGGGTCAGGACCCCATTTGGGGTCGAACGACCATTTCACAGGGGTTGCCAAACAACGCAGTCCGCCATTTTTTCCCCCTTTTCCTTAGCTGTGCTACTCCCTTTTATTCTATTGGCTTTTGAAAGCCAATAGAATAGACTCTCTTGAATAGAGTCTAATTCTATTGGCTTTCAAAAGCCAATAGGAATTGTTCAGGCTGTCTCTGCCTTGCTGAGCCCGCCAAAAGTCCCATTCTGCAAACGGTGCTGCACCAGTTGAGTAGTCCTCGACTTACGACCGGTTGGGGGGTCGCGGAATTAAAAAGGTTGAGAACCACTGCTCTAGAAAGAGTGCAGAGAAGAGCAACAAAGATGATTAGAGGACTGGAGGCTAAAACATATAGGGAAAGGCTGCTGGAATTGGGTATGTCTAGTTTAATGAAGAGAAGGACGAGGGGGGACATGATAGCAGTGTTCCACTATCCCAGGGGCTGCCCCAAAGAAGAGGGAGTCAAGCTATTTTTCGAAGTGCCTGAAGGTAGGACCAGAAGCAATGGATGGAAACTAACCAAGGAGAGAAGCAATCTAGAACTAAGGAGAAACTTCAAGACAGTTAGGACAATTAACCAGTGGAACAACCTGCCTCCAGAAGCGGTGAATGCTCCAACACTGGAAGTTTTTAAGAAGAGACTGGACAGCCATTTGTCCGAAATGGTGTAGGGTTTCCTGCCTGAACAGGGGGTTGGACTCGATGACCTCCAAGGTCCCTTCCAACTTTATTATTATTATTATTATTATGAGGAGGAGGAGGAGAAGAAGAAGAAGAAGAAGAGGAAGAGGAAGAAGAAGAGGAAGAAGAAGAAGAAGAAGAGGAAGAAGAAGAAGAAGAGGAAGAAGAAGAGGAAGAAAAGAAGAAGAAGAAGAAGAAGAAGAAGAAGAAGAAGAAGAAGAAGAAGAAGAAGAAGAAGAAGAAGAAGAAGAAGAAGAAGAAGAAGAAGAAGAAGAAGAAGAAGAGACAATGTATATTGGACCATCTAGAGAATGCCAATAGAGATAACACCCTCTGGCATTGATGATGATCAGGTCAAATTATAATTCAAGTCATTACAATCCTAATGCTATTTTGGATTTGTGAAAAGTCTATTACGGCTTCAGTGTAAACTAAGGACCGTCAATAAGGCAGTCATCAAAATCTTTTAAAAAATTAGGAATTGATCTATATGGCTCAGTTCAAATTGTGGGTGTTTTTGCCATTAGCCAGAAAGTTAGTGGGTGATTTAATTTAAAAATAATCATAAAAATAATTAAATAAGATGCCAGCAGACGGTGCCAGTGGACGTTTGTCTTTGCGTGCCAGTAACAATTTTACATTATACTTTTCAATCAAAGTATAATAAACGTTTTTCATTTTGCATTTTAACTCTATTTATGCTGTTAGAATTAATTTGAATTTTGGCCAGGAAGTTCTTGCAGAAGTAAAAATCAGAAAATTCTTGATTCTCTAGGGCTCATTAGATCTGCTGGAAAAATGTGACTTGTCCAGTACTGTCTGAATCGCTTCAAAATCCATAGGATGATTCTTTTCCTGGCTCCCATTTAAAATAGACTTTATTCCCTGGACTGTAGTTATCCAACACAACTCCCTCCTCCTATTTTCCCTACAACCACAATCCTGTGGTAGGGTATGAGTTTGGTATTCTTGTTTTGATTCTACATCTGTCCTATAGCCCCATTTATGTATAAAATCAAGCATTGCAAGAAATTCGTAAATTTCTCTAGAGTTTTATATAAAAAAGCTAAACTTTTGACTTTACTTCCCCAAACAAAGATCAGAAGATCCCTGGAGCTGAGCTTTATCAGGTCCATCATTATATTATGGTATGTTGTTGTTAGTTGCGAAGTCATGTCCAACCCATCGCGACCCCATGGACAACATTCCTCCAGGCCTTCCTGTCCTCTACCATCTTCTGGAGTCCATTCAAGCTCACGCCTACTGCTTCAGGGACTCCATCCAGCCACCTCATTCTCTGTCGTCCCTTTCTTCTCTTGCCCTCCATCTTTCCCAGCATCAGGCTCTTCTCCAGGGAGTCCTTTCTTCTCATTAGGTGGCCAAAGTGCTTGAGTTTCAACTTCAGGATTTGGCCTTCTAAAGAGCAGTCAGGGTTGATCTCCCCTAGGACTGACCGGTTTGGTCGCCTTGCAGTACAGGGGACTCGCAGGAGTCTTCTCCATCACCATAGTTCAAAGGCCTCAATTCTTTGGCGCTCAGCCTTTCTTATGGTCCAACTTTCACAGCCATACATTGCAACTGGGAAAACCATGGCCTTCACTATACGCAGAGTGACATCTCTGCTTTTTAGTACGCTGTCTAGATTTGCCATAGCTTCCCTCCCCAGGAGCAAGTGTCTTCTAATTTCTTGGCTGCAGTCCCCATCTGTGGTGATCTTGGAGCCCAGGAAGATAAAATCTGTCACTACCTCCATTTCTTCCCCATCTATTTGCCAGGAATTGAGAGGGCCAGATGCCATGATCTTGGTTTTCTTATATTATGGTATATTTGTATGTAAATCATATCATTTTGCATCTGGACATATATATATATATATATTAGCACCTTTAATTTCTATGCTACTGCAGGGGATCTGGTTCACCATCCTAGTTACAGAAAACACTGTGGGCAATTCTGTCCTTAAAAATTCTCTTACGAGCAGGCATACATGAACACGCAGCCATCTAACATAACTATGAACCTTGGCCTATCCACCAATTAAGTTTTCTGTTATTACTAAAAGTCTAATTAGATAATCCAGCGGGAGCCGTAATTGCATTTCCCATTTCCTTGCAGGACAAATGAAGCTGCGTCAGGAAGTAAGTATTGCTACTGTAAGTATCGTTACTGCAACCAGGATACATTAAGCAGTTGTGAGTGCCTTACAGATAACAAAGAAAGAACGGAGACAGAATTGAACTACTTCTGGTCTACCAGTTAGTTCCCCCATCCTAACTGCTCGTTTCCCAGATGTTAATGGATTCCTTGGGAGAAAAACTAAGCAGATACAAATTGTGGTTCTTATAAGAAAGGGTATGGGTTTTTCTTTTAAGTGAAGTGAGAAAATGGCGGGGTAAGGGTTGGCTTTGGCTTTGAGGGGTTGTCATGTAAAAAGGTGAACAAGATCCATGGTCTTTGGTACAACAGGCAGTTTGTTTTCAATGCGCATCAGTAAGAAGCAATAGAAGATAAAGTCTTTGAATCAAGTCAAAAATGGCGTAGAACATAGAATCATAGAGCTGGATGGGATCTCAGAAAGTCTTCTAGTCTAATAGGGGAGACAAGATAGCAGTGTTCCAGTATCTGAAGGGCTGCCACAAGGCAGAGGGGGGCAGGTTGTTCTCCAAAGCATCAGAGGGAAGGACAAGAAACAATGGATGGAAACTGATCAAAGAGAGAAGCAACCTGGAATTAAAGAGAAACTCCAGTGGAACAGCTTACCCCCAGAAATTGGGGCGCTCCATCACTGGAGAATTTTAAGAAGAGACTGGACATTCACCTTTCTGAGATGGTATCTCCTGCTTGAGCAGGGGGCTGGACTAGAAGACCTCCAAGGTCCTTTCCAGCTCTGCTCTGCTCTGCTCTGCTCTACTCTACTCTACTCTACTCTACTCTACTCTACTCTACTTTACTCTGTTATTCTATTCTATTCTATTCTATTCTATTCTATTCTATTCTATTCTATTCTATTCTATTCTATTCTATTCTATTGTTTTGTTCTACTCTACTCTACTCTACTCTACTCTACTCTACTCTACTCTACTCTACTCTACTCTACTCTACTCTACTCTACTTCTACCCTGCCCTGCTCTATTCTGTTCTATTCTATTCTATTCTATTCTATTCTATTCTATTCTATTCTATTCTATTCTATTCTATTCTATTCTATTCTATCTTGATGGACATGTCCATGTAGCTCCCTTGAAACGATATGGAAGCGTTTATATCTTCTACATTAATTTTTGGAATGTTTCCTGGCCTCAGTCTACAATGTGGGCAATTTGTGCTGATCTGCCTTCTAACTCGTTTCAATCCTGCTTAATTTTCTAACCTCCACACACCTTCTCTCAACTTGTTCCCCCCCCCCAGCGAGAAGCAAGTGGGTGTCACGCACCTTGCAAGCCCTCCAGGCGAAAGGTTCGGTGTTCAACCACCCCACAGCTGCGATAGGGTCCATATCTGAGGGTGACCAGAGCATTCTTGGGCATTGCTGGGCCAGTTGTAAGGAGACTCCTGAGGAATGAGGAAGCAAGCGGAGGGTGGAGCTGAAACACATTCTTCTCGGCTGTGGAGGAAGCTCTAATGGCTTTGACATCACCCACAGTAGCCATGGCAAAGCTGGCTGTTTCCTTAGGGATGTAGTGTCACAAAGGGAAAAAAAATGCTGGCATTCAATTCAATGGTGCTTCATTTGCAGAGAGAGAGAGAGAGAGAGAGAGAGAGAGAGGAGAGGGGGAGAGAGAGAAGGACGAAGGAAGGGGGAGAGAGAAGGAGGGTGGGAGAGAGAAGGAGGGAGGGAGAGAGAGAAAGGGAGGGAGAGAGGAAGGAGGGAGGGAGAGGGAAGGAGGGAGAGAGAGATGGAGGGAGGGAGAAGGAGGGAAGGAGAGAGAGGGAGGGAGAGAGAAAAGGAGGGAGGGAGAGAGAAGGAGGGAGGGAGAGGGGGAAGGGAGAGAGAAGGAAGGAGGGAGAGAGACAGAGGGAGGGAGAGAGAAGGAGGGAGGGAGATAGAGGGAAGGAGAGAGGAGGGAGGGAGAGAAGGAGGGAGGGAGAGAGAGACGGAGGGAGAAAGAAGAAGGGAGGGAGAGAGAAGGAGGGAGGGAGAGAGAAGGAGGGAGAGAGAGAAGGAGGGAGGGAAGGAAGGAAGGAAGGAGAGAGATTCTTCAGTACTTCAAACTTGCAAATAGATGATATTTTGACGATTTGGTGAAGGTGTGTGGACTTTTGTCATGGGCTCAAGCTACAGTCATTTTCCTAATGGCACGGGCACTGAAAACACCTGCGTTGGATTTATAATTCCTTAATTTGACTTTTAGATTAGAGCCCGGTGTGAATTCAGCCTGTCTATTCACCGAACTATAGTTCAGCATTGTAGTAGTGGGTCCTTTCCCCCGAAGCTTCCTAGGACTGAATGGACCTCTACAGATTTTTATTTATCAAATAAATAAAAGACCAAAGAGAGAAGCAACCGTTCCTTATATGCTTTAGCCTCTAATCATCTTTGTTGCTCTTCTCTGCACCCTTTCTAGAGTCTCAACATCTTTTTTTCATCGTGGTGACCAAAACTGGATGCAGTATTCCAAGTGTGGCCCTACCAAGGCATTTGTTGTTGAACTCTGGCAATTGACTTCCGGTCTTTTCTTGTGTGGGTCCCACTCTCTGGAACATTCTGCCCCTCCACCCCCAGATGAGATACACACACCTCCCCTTTTGGCTTTCTGTTTTGAAGACAGGGCTGTGCCAATTAGCCTCGATTCCCAACAAGGGGGGGGGCTGCAGCACTTTCGAGGGAGGGGCTGATGTAGTGGAAACCCCCTCCCCATCTCCTCTCCCATCACTTTGCTTCCTTGCTCTCCACGTGGGTCAGTTTTATTTTAACTGAATTTTAAATTCCCCTTTGAATTTTAAATTTTGTATTCCTATTTATTCTAGGTGGTTCTAGAACACCTAGAATCACCTCTGGCACGACAGGTGACATGCAAGTTCAATAAATAAAAAAGTAAATGAAATATTAGCCTATATTAGGTACAAATGCGATACATAGGGAGCTAGTAGGCAGGGCATAGATTGCCTCTGGTAGAAATGATTGATTGATGAATTGATTGATTGATTGATTGATTATTAAGACAACCTTGAACAAGCGAGGCTAAAAGACACACTTGATTCAGAATAAAAGCCACCATCGTTTTTTTTTTTAAATTTTGCTTTTTATTCACTGCTCTTTTGTGATCAACAATCAATGGACTCTAAATTCTTAATATCAATGTATCCAATGTGCCATGAATTTTAAGACTGACAATGGGAATGATTGTATACCTGGGAACATAGCAATCTATAGCTCATACTAACCCAAGAGGCTATAGAAATACACATTTAGATTTGGCACCGATCAATACTATGTTATAAAAATAAAATATTACTAAAATATTGACTTTAAAGCAGCACACAGTATAAAAAGTTGGGATATATTGTCAGCTCGTCGCTACATAATACTCTATCAGCTCATCTGAATACAGTTCTTATATCTAGCCTGCGTCAATCCATATAGCCATAAGATGAGGATCAAAAACAACTCTTCTTTCATCGAAAGATCATCTTTTTTTTTAAAGCCCGGACACTCACTTTAAAAAAAATTAAACAACCGATTTCTCTCATATGTGCTGATCTATATATAGTGACCTGCCCCAAATGTTACCTTTGTATTGGATCAAACCAGATGAGGGATTTAACTCATGAATGCCGTTAACTCCGTCTACTTTTTTTCGGCATAAAAATATAGCTTTGGGAGATAAGAGCTGGATCGCAATGCGGGGGGGGGGAATAATCCTTTCTCACACACCTCACAATATAAATTCTCCACTGTGAGCAAGAAAACAAAAATCAGAAAACTTAAAAGGTGTCGATAAAGTGCTTGGTTTATGTGTGCGTTCAATATATATTGCATAAATATATAAACGTTTTTACAAATAAAAAAAAACTGCAGCTGTGAAAACTCAAGAAGAGTAAAATTCACCGACTTGTTTTGATGCTTCCTAGCCAACCTTACCAAAATACTCAACTCGGGCTTTGCTGGTGCACCCATCAAAGTTCCTTCAGGTGAACTTTGTGTGTGTGTGTGTGTGTTTTGTCCTTCTGCAAGGAGCTTTGGGCAAAACACACGAGCGCTCCAGTGGGACATATCCAGTGGGTTTAAAAGCTAATTCCAAAATCACGCTCCCAATTGGATGAGTGGAATTTTGCTTGAGGGAAAGCTAGAATTGCTCATTCTGCTGCTGTTCTTCTATCTACATTGTGTCACCACCAACCTGCTAGGGGTGGAGAATTTGGTCATTCGCTTCCGTTTGAAATCATACCTTCAGCTGCAAAGATCCAATTTTTCCCTGGTTGGAACTTGGCAGTTCAGAGAAAGTAGGATAAAGACCATGTTCCTTACAAACCAAGGGATCTGATCTGATCGCTAATGCTTCATAAATCAACATTTTTGACTTCATCATCTGCAACGAACCTTCAGAGCACGCATGCTGCAAGTCCGCACTCAAACCCTTTTTTTTACATTTCCCATTAAATTTGCGTAGATAGCCATGATACATAATTTTCTAAGTTGCAAAGTAAAATTGCATTCTATTGTTTGGTCACAACTCACTTTAACTGATATGAAAACTTCCCTGAAATCCAGACAACCACAAAGCATGCACATAAGAGAAAAAATAGTGTTATCTCATACTAGGACAGTTTGATGGAAGGGTGCCCATAATATAAATTGGATAGGTTTCGCTTAACAATGCATGGGCAAGCATTTTGTCCAAGAGACATTGCTTTCTCCAGTACACTGGACTAAAACAAGACTTGAGCCATACCTTGTTAATATCTCAAAATATCCCTGAATCGGATCTTCTCAGTAAAACCCAGTTTAAATCTGAAAGCTTGCTTATTTGTGGAATCCATGAGTCCAGAGCATTTCTGTGCTGTTTATTGATTTCTAGGAATTAACTTGAGTTGCTGGGAAAGGTTCAAGAAAACCTGGAGGCATTATATTGCGCAGGACAAAGATTGAATGGTTTCACTGCATCAGCCATTTCATGCAAAACAGATAGTAGCTCACCCATTTCTCAGAAGAATTTCAAGACAGATGAGTCTAAGGATGGAGAGAAGAAAGGAACAGCCATTCAGGATATATATATAGGTCTTTGGTTATTCGGGTTTTCTCCCGCGTCAAATTGGAAGTGTCTTGGCGATGTTTCGACGAAGTCTCATTCGTCATCTTCAGGCTGGTGTTTTTGGCTTCATGCTTCTAGGAGCACGAAGCCGAAAACACCAGCCTGAAGATGACGAATGAGACTTCATCAAAACGTTGCCAAGACACTTCCAATTTGACGCGGGAGAAAACCTGAATAACCAAAGACCTACATACAAACACCCGCAAAAATCTCAGAAAACATATATATATATATGTATGTGTGTGTGTGTGTGTGTGTGTAAACAGATACAGCCAAGATAGAACGTGTATTATTCTTTTTCAACCTGGCATTTTTCAGGTATGTTGAGTTAGCTTTGGACAGATCCTACCACAAATTTTCTTTCCGTTTATGGGCACTACATATTAAGAAGATACAGGGAAAGTGGAATTGGTTTAGATAGAGGCAATCAGAAGAAGGAAAGGTATGAAAATTGTCCTGTGAATGAAGATGGTAGGAGACGGGCATCTTTAGACTTCAGAAGACTGAGTGGTGGAGATGGTGGCCATCTCAAAAGACTTGAAAAGGAGAGTCAAAAATGTGCTCTCCGGACTGCAGGATTACTGGAGAAAAATAGCAAGGAGGTAGATTCTGATTGAATGTTAGGGGTAAATAACCCTAGCAGTGAAAAAAAGTTGATAGTGAAACCAATGACCCAAGTGGGATACTGGGTTCCTTTTGTGGGATATCTTCAAATGGAGGCTGTCTGTTTTAATTTAAGGAATGGACTAGTGTGACCGAATGTAGTCTAGAGCAGGGGTCCCCAACCCCTGGTTCCGTGGACCAGCACTGGGCCGCAGCATGCCAGAAACCGATCTACATAAATAAGCAAAGCCCCATCCGCAGGATGCAGGCATTATATGAAACCACGCCTGCTCTGGTCTGCAGAAAAACCTGTCTCCACGGAACCAGTCCCTGGTGCCCAAAAGGTTGGGGATCTAGATCTCTGGTCTAGAATCACAGGAAGGAAGGGTTCCTTCTCAATGGGCAAAGAAACAGCAGAGCTTGGAATGTCTAGTAGGCAGGAAGAAGACTAAGATGGTTCCTCCCTATCAATTCACAGACTACATATCTACACATAATTGCTTTCATCTGGCAAGATTCTGTTTGTAGGTGAACAACCATAAACTACTCTAAAGTAACTCTACAGGTCCTTCTTGATTCTCTGTGTCTGACAACTGGGATTGGATTCTGCTTCCTGAAACACGAATCTCTGATTCCATCGTTCTATGACTACAGTTCCAAGAGCTAGCAATTTGAAGAACAGTGAGCTGGGCAGTCTGCCTTATTAAAAGCCACAACATTAATGTAATTATTTCAGCACAGTTCACATTGACCGGTTGGATTATCAGAAAAGCATCTCCTCTATTCCTTACTGGAGATGTCAAGTATTGAACCACAGTTATTGACTGCATGCAAAGGAGGCCCTCAATATCCGTTAAGCTTTGATCCTTCCAAGAAATGCCATTGTCCTGGCACACAAAATTCCCATCTGCCTAGCAGAATCTCCTTAGGCTCTCTCACAGGCTATTTGGGAACCACCAGATGATCATGCTTGGACCTCTTACAGTAACTGGAGTTGGAGCCACAATCCTTGAAGGCTAGCTAAAGTTTTGACATCTTTTTCTTGCGATCCTCCATCATGCCCTGAGGATGTTACCTACCCTGGTAACAAAGCATCTTGTAAGAAGACAAGCTCAACAAACACTAAGAACTCAACAATTCAGCCCTGAGCCACACACACATAACATCTTTTTTTTCTAATGAAACAATTAAAACATGCAACACTTATTACAACTAACCTGAAGAGAATATGATACAGGTACAATAACAGGTGAAGCATTTGAGCTGGCAATTGTAGAGGGCGTCAGGAATGGAGTTGAAGGAGGAGCAGGAATAGCTACTACTAAGGCAACGGTCAAATAGGTGGGGCTTGAGCCCAGGCCAAAAGAATCACCTGAGGAAACATCTCAGATAATCCTCTCAAGATCACAGGAAGATAAAAGTGAGGGAGGACGGAACACATTCAGCCTTGCAATATTCTGTTATAGCCATTGCAATGAAGGTTGTCCTGATTGATACAGTATTAGCTTCTTACTCTCGCTTACCTTTTAGGTAGACAGTAATTAATTAATTATTGCACGATTCAAAATGGCCTTTAGAAATTGAAGATATGTAAAATGCCTTCCAATCTTCCTTGGCTTCTAACCCAATCTTCTCCCAAAAGAGTTGACTGCGCTCTTGTGAAGAATAATTCCTGTAATAGGTTCTTGGAAATATCTGACTGACCTTCAGCATCATCCACGGTGCTCTTGGTTTCTCTTGAGACCAAGACTACATGGACCAATTGCTCAAGAGGATAAAAAAGAGGGCAGAGTTGCTCTAGGCCAGCAGATTCAGTCAGGGCAAACTCTCATCAGAACTGGAAGTCAGAAATCCATCCTTAAAATGACGGACAAGCATCTTTTTCTAAGATCTTTGGAGATTCTCACTCATCCAGGTCGTAGTTATCCCAAGGGTGCCTTTTTTTCAGGAGGCAACTGGACTTTCTTGTTTTTCTTTGAAGATGTTTCACTTCTCATCCAAGAAGCTTCTTCACTACAAATGACCAACGGTCTGCAAGGAGTATAAATCCTTCCATTCCCCACCATCCACCATTCCCCACCATCCAGTCAGAGCTGAAGAAGCTTCTTGGACGAGAAGCAAAATGTCTTCAAAGAAAAACAAGACAGTCCAGTTGCCTCTTGAAAAAGCACCTTTGGGATTTCTAAGATCTTGAAATTGGGAAATTTTTTTAAAATTAATATTGTTAGCACAATATCATTTCTTAGGTCCTGCTGTATTTTTTTTATTGCATTGGCTACGTTACTGTGGCTCTTTGTATCCTGCTTAGACCAAAGTGGTTTACATATTCCATAAATGAATAAATAATAGAGAGTTGGAACTCTCTCCCCCCCCCGGGACATATTGCACGTTCACAGCAGCTATTTCTAAAATACTAGCGTTAACTGCCTATTTCACATTGAGATGAATTGCATGTAATTTCATTCTTTGGGTCAAACATTATTCATACATTTGCACTGCACAGCACTGAAATGTCAGCTTTCTCAATAATTTAAGCTCCTGTTGTGATAAATAGGGATAGGAATACTTGCTTAAAGAAAAATAAAGTTCTCCTGCCTCTAATAAATAGCTGGCATTTTTTTTTTTTTACAGAAACATCACTCTACATTAAGAACATTTTGCAAAGAGAGGAAGGAAAAGACTACGACACGCATGGAATTAGGGTTTAGTAACTGAAGGACATCTTTCCAGTTTAGCCTGCTGGCTTGTCGAGGTCAAGCTGGATTCGGTACAGAGGTCTTTCAAGTCCATTAGACTTTCACTTATGGCTTTGACAAATTTGCTGGAAGAGGTCTCTGGACAGTTTTTGAAGCTTGAAACGCAGAATAAGATATGCTGGGACTGTGGATTGTAGCACACCCCATAGCCTTGAGGAATCACTGGCCCATAACAGCAGAACATCTCCATTGTGGTGGGAACCTAATTTTAAGAACAACAAAACAGGGTTAAGTTAAAGATGGCCAACTTAAGGTCTGATATCCATCACTCTACAGCTCTAGAGATGCCACAACAATGAGTTGGTTTTGAGATTGTCATTTTGACAGTGAAAGAAGAAATGGCTAAACCCATTTAAGATCATCCTCTTCAGTTCATTGAACATATTTTTAAATACCAATAGAGCTCCAAGGCAGAGACCAAACACAGGGCTTGAACTGTGTAATTAATTATTATTTGACCCATTCAAGTTCACAAAACTGCATCTCGCTTACTTTGGCCATGTTGTGCGGGGGGATTCACTGAAGAAAGCAATTATGTTTGGAAGAGTTAGTGGTAAAAGGAAACCAAAAGCTGCCAAGGAACGTGGTAGTGGACACCATCAAAATTGACAATAAGCCAGACATAGAACAACTCAAAGTAGTGCAAGATTGGAATATATGAGGGACAGAATCATCAAGAGTCAGACACGACTAAAGGGATAACTTCTTCATCATAATATGATGGTGATGAAGTTATCCAGGGATAACTTCATCATCATAACTCATCATCATGAGTCCAGAGAAGAGCAACAAAAATGGTTAGGAGGCTGGAAGCTAAAACCTACCAAGAGCGGCTACAGGAATTAGGTATATCTAGTTCAATGAAAAGAAGGACTGGGGTGACATGATAGCACTATTCTAATATTGGAGGGGCTCCTACAAAGATGAGGAGGTCAAACTATTTTCCAAAGCATCAAAAGGCAAGACAGGAAACAGTGGTTGGAAACTAACCAAGGAGAGAAGCAACCTAGAACTAAGGAGAAATTGCCTAACAGTGAGAGCAATCGACCAATGGAATAGCTTACCTTCAGAAGTTGTGGGTGCTCCATCACTGGAGGCTTTCAAAACTGGACAAACATTTACCTGAAATGGTCTAGGGTCTGCTGCTCAAGCAGGGATTTGGACCAGAAGACCCCTGAGGTTCCATCCTATTGTATTATTCTACCTTCTATGTTCTATTTGACCTATTCACTGTTTCCACTCCGTGACTTGACTGTCAAATTTGGGAATTATTGCAGGGACTTCTTAAGTGATGCTTTTGGTTTGGAGAGCAAAGGCTCAGAGTCCAGTTTTGTTGATCCTAATCCACTTTGAATGATGATGATTGGGTGGGTGGACCACCGAGCTGGCCATGCCTGTTCTTTTAATTGGATCATTTTATTATATATCTTCTGCAGTGTACAGCTTTGCCCATTTAATCCAGAGGTAATCAGATTTTTGAGCACGCCCTCTGCACGTTCAGGGGCACCCATTCATCTTGAAATAACATTATTCCTTGGCTTGTCAATTCTCTTTCATTGGCAACCTACTAATATGAAAAATAGTTGTCTTCTCCTTACGGTCTTAACTCTGAACAGTTACTGAGTGTATATTTAAGAGTTGGGTTTATTCAAATCTCAGAGATTTATTCTCTCGAAAAAGCCTCGGAGGCAGTAAATTTTGCAAGAAGCTATTTCCTACGGACAGAGTCCTACGTTCTTCGTTCTTGGGGTTTTTTTTGTTTTTTGTTTTCCCAGTTTGTTTTGAGGTTTATTATTGTTGTGGACTGCAAAGCTTTCTTTAAAAGCAAGTTTGCTGGAGGTTAAGAAAATCTTTACGCTCCTGCCTTTGTCCTGAACAAGCTTTCAAAAGTGGCATTTAGCTTTTAATGGCATTGGACAGGCCATTATTCCCGCTAATAGAGTTATAGATAAATTTGCTGTACCCTAGCCAAAGGCCATGAAGCTATTCAGATTCCCCCCCCCTTTTTTTTAATCCATGGATGGTTTCTTGGAGAATTTATGTAGGGTGACTGACGCACAGTCATGTCTGAAAAAATCCCCAGACAACATGACGAGATCGAATGACTTATTAGATTCCTTGTCTGCATGGTGTATTAGAAGCTTCCCCCTGACCCTTTTTGTGAGGCAAAAAATTCCCGACCTTCCGTATCTCGGGCAGAATGTGGAATACAGTGGTTGGTAACATAGTTATGTTGATTAAGACGGTGCACGCACCGAAATGCATGGCGCTCCCAGGAATGAAATTAGCTTGACTTCAAGAGCAAAGAACAGTTTGAATCTTCATGCTTGGCAGCTCTTTGCAAGCTGAGAGGAACCCTTCGTAGCATTTGAAGCCAGCAACGTGAGCGAAGGCTGAAAGACTCCAGCAATCCTTGTGATCGATTTTAATCAGAACGCCTCACCTGAAGCCTTCATCTGATACTCAGAATACAAGGGTGGAGTCGGGGGCTCGGAGCATCTCCCAAAACTTGCCATAAAATTAAGTTTTTAAAAATATATATATATTTGAGAGAAAGAGGATTGTTAAATACCTGGCAAGGCATTGTTTATTTTATTTTATTTTTATTTTATTATTTGTACCCCACCTTTTACAAATAACTCAAAACGGCAAACGCATCTGATACATCTTCCTTCTCCTCCTATTTTCTTCACAAAAATGAACCTGTGAGGTGTGCTGGGCTGAGAGAGAGAGAGAGCGACTGGGCTCAAGGTCTGCTTCGTACCTAAAGCAGAACTAGAACTCACTGTGTCCTGGTGATTGGCCCAAAGTCACCCAGCCAGCTTTCATAGCTAAGGCAGGACCTGAACTCATGAACCCCTGAATGTTGTGATTCTGTGCCAGCCTGTGATCCCTGTAGTTGAGACTGGGGACTCAGAGGAGGAGGAGGGGGGGGCTGGAGAGCCATCAGAGTTGGAGGGAGGCTCTGATGAGCTGTAGGATTTACAGACCGATGAGGAGGATGGTCCTTCCACTCGTGATCAAGCTGAGAGTCAGCTGTGCTGGGAAGCTGAGTTGGACTCAGAGGAAGCACAGCTGGAAGACCTCAGAGCCGCTTGTAAATGTAGACAGGTCACACGAGTAGGACAGAGGGAGGCAATGGGGCAACTCCAGGGAAGGAGCAGTGAGAAGCCACACCTTGGGGGCTGCGTAACTAAAAAGGGAATGTGTGGGCAGGGCTGGTTGCTGGAGGCATCAGTTTACACTGAACTTCAGAATCAAGAGATCATGGTCTGTTTATTTTGCCTGTGAGTTATTTCCTGTTTGACTCGAACTCCGTTTTGCTTTTGGACAAGGTCTCCATTAGAAAAGTGTTCTGTTGCTTTTGTTTTCTGGGACAATTATCAGGTCTGTAACTCAAATAAAAAGGATTTATTTTCCAGTCTACTGTTAAAAGAGGGGTTGTCTTTGTGAAGTAACAAGGACGTCCGTAGGCTGGGACAGAACACTGATTTCTAGCCTGGTGCCTTAACCACTAGACTAGACCAAACTGATGTTCATACTACGGATGTTGAATCAATTAATTTTGATTTAATTTTAACTAAATATATTTACAAATTCTGTTCAGTTGGTTCTTTTCTCAGCTCTTGCCAGACATATTTTATATTTCTGGTTGTATTTTGCTCGAGGGTGTCTCAATTAGCTCTGATTCGTCTTTTGTGGAAGAGAATGTTGACTGATCCAGAAAAGCTCCAATGTTTTATTTAAGGACCAAGCTGGACCACTGGCTGGATTTCAGTTTTGGAGCATTCAAGTAGTGAATGCTCCAAGACTGGAAGTTTTTAAGAAGAAACTGGACAGCCATTTGTCCGAAACGGTATAGGGTTACCTGTCTGAGCAGGGGGCTGGACTTGATGACCTCCAAGGTCCCTTCCAACTTTATTATTATTATTATTGATCATCGTATAGTCAGCCAGATGTTCAGACTGGATTTGGCATTTTGTCTACCTATCGAGTCCTTACCCAGGACCTGGGATAGGCAGATGTGGATGTTTGATGGTATTACAGATATCGTCGTAGGATGGAAGCAGTTCCTAATAAGGCTGCCTTTTGCAATTGACTAATAGCGAATTTGTCAATGCCAATGGTGTTCAAGTGGTGCTCCAGTTGTTTTGGGATTGCACCCAAGGAGCCTATGACTATTGGTACTACCCTTGCTTGCTTTTGCCACAGTCTTTCTATTTCTATTTGTAGGTCTCTGTATTTTGTTATCTTCTCCAGCTCTTTCTCTTCTATTCTGCTGTCTCCAGGCACTGCCACATCCACTATCCAGACTTTTTTGTCTTTCTTATCGACAATTGTTAAGTGTGGGGTGTTATGTTGCCGGTGCTTGTCTGTTTGAATTCTGAAGTCCCATTATCATCATCATCATCATCATCATCATTATCATTATTATTATTATTATTATTATTATTATTATTATTATTATTATTATGGATCATCGCACAGTCAGCCAGATGTTCAGACTGGATTTGGCATTTTGTCTACCAATTGAGTCCTTAGCCAGGACCTGGGATAGGCAGATGTGGATGTGTGATGGTATTACAGGTATCGTCGCAGGATGGAAGCAGTTCCTAGTAAGGCTTCCTTACTAGGAACTAATAATAATAATAATAATAATAATAATAATTATTATTATTATTTGAGCCTTCGCCTATGTCTATTGCCCAAGTGGACAGCTGTTGGCTGTTCATTTCTCCTGTCAAAAGCCCAAGAAATGAAAAGTCATAACATTTTAAAGAGTTTTTGAGCACCAGAAAGCCTTTACCCGGCTTCATCATGAGTTGTCATGATTCATAAGGTCTGTCACAGCGAGAATAATGGAGATTCCTTCCTCTGATTAATCCCGGGAAAGATTTCACTCACCTGGCTGGTGGAGAGAACAAATCGATTGCTTGCCAAATAAGTTTCATCAGTAAATAATTCTGGCAGTTCTTCCAAGCTTTCTCGGGCCATCTCTCGCAGTCCCAACAAATGATTGTCGATAGCCATGCCTGTAATAGCCTGTGCCCCAAACAGAGACGGAAGGAAGAACCGATCATTGCAGCCTAACAATTTGTACTTTGGGGTTTAATATGAAATCATTTCCATTTTAAGATAACAGAAGATAACAGAAATGCAGAGTTGGAAGGGACCTTGGAGGTCATCTAGTCCAACTCCCTGCTCAAGCAGGAGACTCTAGGCCATTTCAGACAAATGGCTGTCCAGTCTCTTCTCAAAAACCTTCAGTGATGGAGCACCCACAAGTTCTGGAAGCAAGTCATTCCACTGATTAATTGTTTTCACTGTCAGGAAATTTCTCCTTAGTTCTAGGTTGGTTCTCTCTTTGTATAGTTTCCATCCATTGCTTCTTGTCCTGCCTTCAGGTGCTTTGGAGAATAGCTTGATTCCCTCTTCTTTGGGGCAGCCCCTGAGATATTGGAACCCTGCTATCATGTCCCCCCTGGTCCTTCTCTTCATTAAACTAGACATTCCCAATTCCAGCAGCCTTTCCTTATATGTTTTAGTCTCCAGTCCCCTAATCATCTTTGTTGCTCTTCATTTTTACCCTGTGGACTCTGTGGCAGTGGTCAGCTTGATATTCACACTTCTTTAGATGTGAAAAGTCAAGAAGGACACAGTCCTAGCCTCGCCGTTTGAAGGAACTCTACTGAACTCAATGGCATAATATAAAGAGGAAAGAAGATGACCTTGACAGAGATAAGTAGGACTTGTTACCTGGACAAAAGTGGATGAAGCTTTTTTTTTTTAAGTCCAGAACTATGAAATAACATTCAGAAATGGTTCAGGCATAATCAGAGTTGCAAAATTCTGTTATCAGAACCAATCTCAACAAAGCCAAATGTTAATCTTCCTGGTGTGGTCTATCTAATGGCGCTGACAGATATATTTCAGAATTTCTACAAAAAGGACATCCCAGTCTATTCAGTCTTGGGTTGGACTGAATCAGTCAAAAATCAGTCAAATAATCAAGGAGAGAAGCAACCTAGAACTAAGGAGAAACTTCCTGACAGTGAGAACAATTAACCAGTGGAACAACCTGTCTCCAGAAGCAGTAAATGCTCCAACACTGGAAGTTTTTAAGAAGAGACTGGACAGCCATTTGTTCAAAATGGTGTAGGGTTTCCTGCCTGAGCAGGGGGTTGGACTAGATGACCTCCAAGGTCCCTTCCAACTTTATTATTATTATATCTTATTTGTTCACCAGTGCTGTTTCTTGGATTTGCTATTGTTCTTGTTTTATTCTATATTTTTAATGCTTTATGCAAACGTATATGATTATTCTCTTAATCTTGTTGTATTTTCCTTCTAGGGTTTTAATCATTTTTTTTATCACAAACCATGCTTAATAAATTTATAGGACGGTAATATTAATCTACTTTCATTAATGTTTGCAATAGTTTGTCTAGAAACTTTGCAATACCATGTAAACTGTATATTGACTTAGGACAATTTTTCCCACACTGCAAAAGGGAAGATGACAGTGAAGGACATGTAGCTTAATGTGTTTATAAACACAATGTGGGGTTCTTTACGGAGATAGAAAATCAGATTCTGGCCCAAAAAATTTTTAATTTTTTTTTTTTTGCTGCTACAACCCAACCATTCTTCAAAGCAGATGACTAATACCTCAAGCAAAGTATAAAGAACTGTGCGTGGATCTTTAGGAAAACAAGAATCCAATGTTGGCCTGTCTGGCATCAGAATGAGTGCAAGGAAAGATGATCAAATTGAGGTCACCATGGTTTCCATGGATTAGAAATGGATTGGAGGATCAATGAAAATATTGTCCTATCTAGTGTGATTTATAAGGCTATAAGCACTGACATGAAACATTGAGATGCTTCCAGGGTAGATTAATGTCCTGTCTAAAGAGAAAAAGATGGCTGTGTCCTAACATAATAAAGGGGGTGCCAACACATCTTTCACAGTTTGCTAAGGGTGCAAAGTTTAATTTGTCACAATCATTTGCTAAGCAAGGAATAATTAAAGAACCTAGGCCAGACACGTCAAGCTCACGACGTCACGTGACCTCACGCAACGTATCGGGGACTGTTTTGTCATTGCCGGCTATGGGGTGGGCATGGCTTCCCACGTGATGCGTCTGGCAGTTTGACACCCTTGACCTAGGCTATCTATGCTACAGCTGGAAGAATTGCTTCTGGAACAAAGATTGTGAAGGAAAGATCTTAAGAAATTTGGAAGAGCCATGCTGGATTTGGCGCTAGGTCAATCAATCAATCCATCTGTTTATTACAGCCATAAGGCCAGACATAATCAAAATATAACAACAGTGACAATTTTACTTCCACATTTACAGAATATAAAACTATCAAACAATCAACGTAATGCCTCACAGGATCCAGCGTTTGGTTTTCTTATTGGAATTCCAGATGGGTTTTTGGTCTCAAAATGACTTCAACATACAGAGATTTTTGAGGGTGGAATTTTTGATTTTTTTAGCCTGAAGACCCTATTAGGATTTTAAATAAAACCACCAGATCTGGGATGCAAAATTCTCAATGTCCACTAAATGGCAGCACTGAAGTACAGCTTTGCTACCCTCTAGTGGCTGGGTACTTGAGTAGCATGCAAGGGATTGCACATTAAAAAGGACACGAATGCATTTGAAAGCCATTTTACCTATGTAATTAATTCTGTAGGTACCTTTCTTGAAATATTTAAAGCACAACAAATTCTATACCAAACACACAGTTGAAGATAAACAACAACAAAAAAATCTATTTCAGCCTCTGATTTCTAGAAAGTGAAGTACTTGTATTACATAATCATCATCACTGGATAGTTTTTTTTAGCAAGGAATTATTTTTTTTCATATAGTAGATGCTTACCAAAACAGTGTAATTGGTCTGAGCTGCTATTGCACTCTTAAATAGCTGCATTTTTTCAGAATTCTGTAGACAAAAAAGAGCACAGACATTTTCTAAATGTATATATATCCACGTGGGAAATTCCACTACTTTTACAACCGAATAATTCATTGGTTAATTCCTTTAGTTCAGATGCCTTTGGAAGCCTGCCCTGAGATTGGAACTAAACTAGAATGCAAGTTTGAACAAATTTGTCCTTTTATTTCAAATGTTGCAATGCTTCAATTAAAACGTCATACAACACCAGTTTGAAAATGCATAGTTAAGCTTCAGTCTTCAAGACAAAAACAGAGAAAAAGATGGGAATGCAAGTTGAATTGAGTAATTATATGTCAATCTTCATATGCTGTAGAGATGTTATTTCTCCTTGTGCTATAGGCATGTAGAAAGAACATACACAAAGTTGTAACAGTGCAGATAGAGGCTGTTCTGTCCACCCTTCCTTAGAGCTGCCTTCCTCAACGTGGTGCTGCCCAAATCTGATGGGATTACAACTCTTAACAACTCTCCACTCAATATACCTGAAAGCTTCCCCAGAAGCCATTAAGATTACAGCTTCAGTCTAACTAAAACCAATGGAATAAACACAGTTTTTTAAATAGTAACAAACCAGTCATTAAATGCTTCAATATCTCAAGAATTAGCTTGGCGTGATCAGCAAAAAAGAGTAGCTAACAGCATGCAGGAGCTCTTTAAAGCAGCTACATTTTGTATGCCTATTCTCCTCAGCTGCTACGAGAACCCAGGGATAGATACCAGTGCTTTAAAGAGTTTAGGCTGGTGCTATTTCTCTTCTCACTTGCTTTGAAGCACCTGTTGAAAATCAAGACTAAACAATGGACAATTCTACTGATTCTGCAAGTGCATGATCGTAACCCCTTAAGATGAGTTGTTACAGCTTCCATTGAGCTTACTAAGTAGGCACTGCAGCTTTGCGTAGTATTGCTTTTATCACTGGGCATCTACCAAGGATTACTCGCCAGCAAGGATTTCTGTCAGAACCCGTATTTCTGAGGGGGCTCTTCCTAACTCTGATTCTAAACTCTGTTCCTTCTATTCCTCTGGGTTCTGTCGTACTCCTGGAAGGGAGGTGGGGGAGACGCTGTGGGTTGCTTCCTTGTTTTTCTCTATCGCTACAATGCAACTCTTTCGCTGTCTCTGCATATACACTCTTTGAACTGTCCTCCCTTGATGTCAACTAGAAAGGCAGGAAGAAAGTATGCGCCTCTGGGCATCTGGCTTATCTCCTATTCGGAAGGGAAGGTGCGAAGACCCAACAAACACCGCTATAACCCTGAGATGGGCCGGCGCTATCCTCATTTTCCCACAACGGTTTTAACACCTGGGGATTGGCCCGTTCGAACCGACCGGATGAACTATTGGGGTGGGGTTTGCTTGGGACTCCTTTAACCTATTGATCTGAGGGGGAAAACCTCAGATCCTGCCTGTTATGCCTGCCATCAGCTTCTCCTAATAAAAGTTCCTTTCGGAAGAAACATCTTCCACGAGTTCTGCTTTCTTAGGATGAGGTATTGAAGCGGGCCCTGACAGATTCATTGCAAAACCCAGAATTGTCTAGGTATTTCTTCTCTTTCTTGCTCTTCCTGTCTACTTAACCTGTCCTTTCTAGACAAGCAAAGAAGGATGGAAGTAAAGCATCCCCCAGCCTATCTACCTCAAACCATTTACAGAGGAAAGAGAACAAGAGAATCGATCATCACCCAGAGTAAGAGATTTGTCTTCTTAGCCGTATCACAGGAAAGACAGGATAGAAATGGAATGCATATACAAACACAAAACATAAGCCACAGATACCTGGAGAGCTGATTTCTTATCTACCATTCCTTTTACAAATATTAACACTTCAGGAGTGGCAGAGCGGATGTTGTCGACCCTCCCGCATTCATAGCGACGAAGAGAAGCACTTTCATAGGTGGGAACCAGCCTCATGTTCAACCTACAGTGGGATGACAATAAAATCCTGATTGGATCATCCCCTTAGCGAAGCTGTTAAGAGCCAGAAAAAAATGATAGGATTCTGATCCAGGTGAATATTTTACCATTGTGTTTCCTGTTGGGTTTAGGACTTCATTTTTAACTATAACTGTAGATCAATTGAACCCCTCAGAATCCAAATCAACTGCACAGCCAGCCAGCCAGAAATAGCACTGACCCCCAACCAACTCATGTAAGGTTCACCCAGCAGTTCACCTTCTACTGACCCTGACCTGGTGTAACCTCCCCATCACAAGACCCATCACAAGACCTTCACTGATGACTCACACCTGACCCATCACAAGGCCCTCACTTGACACAGCCACACCTGACCCATCACAAGGCCCCCACTTGACACACCCACACCTGACCCATCACAAGGCCCCCACTTGACACACCCACACCTGACCCATCACAAGACCCTCACTTGACACACCCACACCTGACCCATTACTAGGCCCATCACAAGACCCTCACTCGACACACCCACACCTGAAGCCCTTATAAACAGAAGAACACCGACACTGACATCTCTGATGAAGATGTTACCTAGTCTGGTAACAAAACATTTGGAAATCAACCCACAAGCTCAGAGAATGAACCTTTATTCTCAAGACTTTTTTTTTTTTTTAACTTCAGAGAACCTTTGAACAGCCTGGACTTTTGACCAGAAAGTAGACAGCAGGCTCTCCTGATTTGTCACTCAATTATATGCTTTTTATTTATCATTCATTGGCCACTAATGTGCTTCCATTGGGTTCTTTATCAATAAACCCAACCGCCTCCTCTGAGCCATGTGCGGACACCAATTTTAAGGTCCATGCTCTCTCTGGGATTTAGAAATACTGTTTAGTTAAAGTATCTCAGCTCCATACCCGTCCAAGCTGGTCACTCCTGGGTAATGTGTAGCTTTGCCAAAACAGTCTGCATTAAGGGAAGCTGTAGAGAAAGTTACACAGACCAAGGAGAGAAAGACATAGTTGGCCATTTGGACTGAAATGAGTGCGGTCAACATATTTCCTTCACGTACCGGTAAAAGGCCAACTGGAGTGCCACTTGAATGTAGGCATCTGGGCTCATCTTCTGTTTCTTGATAAATTCTTTCCCATAGTTTTCAAATTTATAAGCCATAAAATCTAGATTCCTCACCAGTCTAGAAAAGGGAGAAAGAAGAGAAATAAAAGTAGTTCTCATTGCTGTTTTTTTTTTTTTTAAGTAAAAATGTTTCCCCCAACTATTCCAGTAAGCTCTCTCAAGCTTTGAGAAGGATTGTGTCCAAAAGAAATTTGGAATTCAGCTCTTAAGCTCAGTTCCCAGACATCTGATGGCCTGTTCGGTGCAATTTAAGAAGCTCTACATATCCTCTAAGCATTGGAATAAACAAATCAGGAGAAGCAGGTTTACAAAGAGGAGCACAAGGGCATGCAAAGCGCTAAGGCTGGAATTCAAATTGGCTACAGTATTTAAATTAGTTACATTTATTCCTATGGGGGTGATCTTTCTCTACTCTAAAACTCTAGACCTACTCCTCAGACTAATCAGAGAACACCTGATGCGCCCACAAAGGGTAAAAGTTTACATAAAATGCAAAGGCTAACATCCAGTTTATTTCCCCTCTCTTGTTTGGAATCATTATTAATGCAACAGGAACACACAATTGTACACATGCCACCATCCTGATGAAGGACAAGGCTGAATCCTGCAGGGGCTCAGTCTTGTTCCTTTGCACAGATGTTTTCCCAGATATTTATATATTTAACATAGCTTTCCCAGGGACCTTTTACTTACTTCAAAGGCTGGGCAAAGCCTTGGCATTTAATATATTTCTTTGCCATTTTTCAAGGCTGGGGTTTTTCCCCAGGTGCTTGTAATGCCAAAGCAAAAGAAGGAATAGTAAAATAAACAAGTGGAAAAGAAAACATAACTGAACAGCGGAAAAAAGCTTTTTAGTGACAAGCCAGAGAGAACAGATGTTTTAAAAGGAGAAGATACAGATGAAACCGTGGAAGGGCATTTTCTGATGAGACATCGCCACAAAAATATTTTTTTCCTATAGTGCCAAACTTACATTTGCTAATATAGAATTACAAAATATAGAATTATGACTGCAGATAAAAAGAAAGGGGAAGGAAGGAAGGAAGGAAGGAAGGAAGGAAGGAAGGAAGGAAGGAAGGAAGGAAGGAAGGAAGGAAGGGATGAGAGGAAGGAAGAAGGAAGGAAGGAAGGAAGGAAGGAAGGAAGGAAGGAAGGAAGGAAAGGAAGGAAGGAAGGAAGGAAGGAAAGAGTGAAAGAATGAGAGGAGGGATGAGAGGAAGGGGAAAAGGCAGACAGGCAGTTAAGCAGGATATCCTTAATTATATATAAAATGTCTTTCTGCACTTTATTCCATTAGCAACAGCTATATTTTTAGCTCTTTTCTCCACCAGCATCGTTCCTTAATAGTTACTGTGCTCCACAGATTAACCTGTGAGAGCTTGCAGCCCTCATATCTCCGCATGAAGTTGAACCATCCAATGACATTATCGTACCTTTCCAGTTTTTCTGCAGAAGAAGCCAAGTGATTCTGAATTTCTGGAGAACATTTCCACCGTAGCCTCCTTGGAGCGGGAAGCTCACTCACTGAATCTGCTCTGACCAGTTTCTTTGCGCCTTCTTTCCTGTTCACAGAGGGGTAGAAGAGTCCCGTGGTTTGTGGTCGGATTATCGGTTTTGTGACCTGCTTTTCTGAATCAACTCGGGGAACAGTCTCCCTTAAACACCTGCTCCATGAATTACTGCTTCGGAGTCAGAACTACTTTCAGCTACCGTTGAAAACCAGGGTTTGACAAATTGAAGGGAAAAAAAAATAAGAGGTTGCCTGAAATAAGAGGTTGAGCATGGTTCTTGGTATCTGTGGAGGATGATGCCCTGAAGCTCACTACCCAAAGTATGGAAGATGTTTGTTATTGTCTTTCGTGACACCTTCTTCTTCTTCTTCTTTTTGTCTTCTCAGTCTATCTTACAACCCTCAGATTCCCTGGTGGTCTTTCATCTGGTTCACTGACAAAAGAACCCAACATGGTTACATCTATGTGGTCTCTGGGAGTTAAGTCCAACCTGAACTAGAGTTTCCTTCCCCCCCCCCCCATCTACTATTTCTCCTTTGAGTCGATGGCCTTAAATTTGGGACTGTCTTCTTTTTTAATAAGTGCAATAGAATTTACAGAGTACTCGTTCCGTCACACTGCTTCACTATTCCAAGAGGAGAAGACACCATCAATAAATGTTTCCTTACAAGATTTGGCCAAGTAGGAAGGTGTCCATCCTGTCTAGAGTTCTGCACAGCCTTACAAAAGGAAATGATGAATAATAGTGAATAATGGATGATAATGAAGACATTCAATGAAGTGGCGTTGGCTTCAAGTTATTGCTGACATCTGAATGTCACTGGAAAACATGAAATGCATATGTTGAAGTACAAAAGCAGGTGGTTTCTTAGATAAGCTGAAGTAGCTTACATGTGCTTCAACATGTGTTCGATGCACTGCACAAGAATGATCCCATCAAATGGAGAGTGTTCACACACTGTTCCACAGACTCCGTCTCGTCCTACGACAAACTAAGCAGGGAAATTAATTTAGACAGAAGTGAAATATGGATTTAGTAACTCTTGAGTTCAAAAGAATGTGGTATATTTTGCCTTTAAGATCCCAAACAGAAATGTAGACCAGCCAATATTAGAAATGTAGGCAGGGTTTGTTTTATGCATCACAGAAACAATTTTAAATGTAACAATATCCAAAGGTCTTAATCTTGACATAGTTCAGGGATAGGCAACCTTGGCTCTCTTATGATTTGTGGACTTCAACTCCCAGAATTCCTGAGCCACCATGGCTCAGCTTGGAAACCTCTCCCTTTCTCCTCAGCGTGGCTGGCTCAGGAATTCTGGGATGAAGTCCACCAGTCATAAAAGGTTGCCTACCTCTGGCCTAGGCCTACACCCCTTCGTGACTCGTAGACTTCAACTCCCAGAATTCCTGAGCCAGCATGGCTCAGCTTGGAAACCTCTCCCTTTCCCCTCAGCGTGACTGGCTCAGGAATTCTGGGAGTTGAAGTCCACAAGTCATAAAAGAGCCAAGGTGGCCTACCCCTGCGACATAGTTGGATGACCTGAAATATCAAAGAGCACCAAAGTAAGAGAAAGTTAAAAGGAAATGTAAAAGCATAAAAATGTGATTGATTTTTTTCCAAAGGGAACAACAGAGTGAATGATGTTTATGAAGATATTCAATGTCAAGGGAGCGACTCCAAGTGTTCCAAGTGTTTTTTTCACTTATCTTAATTTTCACTCAGAATAACAGAGGTGGAAAGGACCTTGTAGATCTGCTAGTCCAGCCCACTGCTCAAGCAGGAGACCCTATACCATTTGAAGGGCTGCCACAAAGAAGAAGGGGGTCAACCTATTCTTTGAAGCATCGAAGAACAGGACAAGAAGCAATGGATGAAAACTCATTCAGGAGAGAAGCAATGTAGAGCTAAGTAGAAATTATCGGATAGTGAGAACAAGTAACCCATGGAATGGGTTGTCTTCAGAAGTAGTGGGTGCTCCACTGTTGGAGGTTTTTAAGAAGAGGTTGGACGGCCATTTATCTGAAATGGTAGAGGTTAAACTAGAAGACCCCCAAGGTTCTTTCCAATTCTGTTCTTTTGATATTTTGTTATTCCATGGTGAAAGTAAAGATGTGAGAGAATGGAAAAGGCAGTCCTCACAATTATGTGTTGCTGGAGGACTTGAAGCAAGTGATGAGTTGAAAATAGAAGCCAACATACACCCCTATGTTTTGTTTCTTTTCTCTCCTACCACATCATGCTTCCAATGAAGGCTAGATAAATTTGGACAAAGTCTGAATCAACGATCCCCTCTAGACAGTTATTTAAAGGAAGACGAGGGTTTGGCAGTGCCTTAAAAGCAGTGGTGGGATTCAAATATGTGAACAACTGGTTCTCTGTATGGATGCCGCTTCCGGAAGTCCGTTCTGGGCCTGGGCAACAAAAAATTAGCTGCCGGTTCTGCTGAAGTGGTGAGAACCGGCTGAATCCCACCAATGCTTAAACGAAAGTTAGCATGACCATGCCATCGTGGTAGTGAGGTTGACTTGCTGAAGACAAACGTGGTGCGGAGAGCAAATTTGGACCCAGAACATCCATCTCCATTTTCAGTTGTTTAAACCTGGATAAGAAGCTCTTTTCTTTGAGAGCGTCACATTGTAGTGAGATTAGAAGATCTGAATCGCCTCCCCTAATTCAACCAGGAATTGATGTGTAGTTTTTCTGGTTGTTGTTGGGACTTACCTGCATAGACTTATCATACCAACGATTGGCACCGTTTTTATGGTAGCCTCCACCATGGAGAAGCTGCAAGGCCCTGTTGGTGTCATTCAGCTCCTCTCCACCTGGGCTGTCAAGGCAGACCAAGCACAGACTTCGTTCAATCGTATCAAGGGAGTCTCGATTTGTAGAATCTAGAGTAGAAAACAATTTGCTTGGAATGATGGCACGCTGTTCCTTGATTTTTCTGCTCCTAATTGAATTGTTATGCTTCATACACTCATTCTCTGAGAACTCTTAAGAGTGCGAGTGTTTTGTTCCATCAGAATGAAGCTACTGGAAATCGAGGGTGCACAATTTTTGGGTTTCTACCCATCAGGCTGGGAGAAGATTAGATCTCGAAGCAATTTAGTCTACAAATTAATCTGCTGAGCTTGAAAAGCACCACAGCACTTTGGTAATTTGATGGACTTATAGTATGCATGGAAGTATAGTATGCATGTAGTTACAGTAGTGGCCAAAATTGTGGAAACCTTTTTGGGAAAGTATATTTTTGAGGTTTGATGGCTAATAATGCCACTATTTTTGGAGTAGTACCATAAAATTATATATCAATGGAAAGATAATTTAATCAAGAAAGTAACGAAACAAAGTTTGTTCGATTATCTATACTGTATTCTATGAAATGTTATAGCCAAATAACCAGAAAAATGAGGCACAACTTGCTTAGGTTGATCTCAGGTAGCTTTCCTTCATCTGATTGTAGCTAATGATCATGAGTGTTTAGACAGCCAATCGGGTGTCATCTTGTTTTGGCAACAAGCCAATCAGATCACAGTAGGATTTAGTTATTGATATCCGGTATTGAAGTTGAGAAGAGGACATTTGTCAGTGTGTTATGTGATGGCTATCAAGTTGGTTGGGTTTTTTTGTATTCTTTCATTTAGTGAGCTTGTAAAACGTAATAAAATTAAAGGAATGGTGCAAAGAGTTGACTGGTCACCCCGAAAGCGATGTAAAATAATATTATTAAGTGAACAAGGCTACAGTTATAAAGAAATGAGAAGAAAAATGGGTGGAAATTTAACCAAAGGTGGCATTTCTCTACTGTACACTTTTCCCAAAAGGTTTCCACAATTTTGGCCACTACTGTATACACATTTTATGAGACTGAGATCTGAAAACAAATCGTTCAAACTGAATATTAGATATTCTTGCAATCTAATCTTGGTGGGGGTCCTTGGTGCTCTCTGAGCTTGGTTGTGTTCTTATAGACGTTTCATTACCAACTAGGGCAGTGTTTCCCAAACTTGACAATTTTAAGGCATGTGGACTTCAACTCCCAGAATTCCACAGCCAGTCAACTAGGGTGACATCACCAGTGTGAGAAGGGAATGGGTTTGCACTCCCAGGCACTGACGATGTTACCCTATTGGGTCATGAAACATCTGCAAGAAAACCACCCAGCTCAAACAGCACCAAGGGAGCCCACCAACCCTGAGCTACAAAAATTCACTTCTATTGTTCATCTCGTCTTTACTTGAGGAAGCCTTGAAGCCTCTCCCACCTCTCATAATTTCGTGTGCAAATTCCTCTCCTCCAACAACAATAGGAAATGTGAGCATTACAATGTATGAAAAATACGAAAGAGCCTTTGGAGGGGACTAGAGATGGATTGACTTCATTAGGAAGAGTTTCTGAGCCTGCAGAACGGCAGACATTTGGGCAATCTCATTTCAGTTTTTGAAATGTGGGAAACATAGGCCAAATAGGCCTAAATGAGTATTTCCTAAAGAAGAAGTAGCATTTTTGGGTATGCTCCTCCAAAACTGGGCCATTTTCATCTTGTCTTTAAAATTAAAACCTATGGATATTCTTTTAATCTGGGTGTAGGAAAAAAAAATTAACCCAGGATTAGAATATTCTGCATGCTAGGAATTATTGAAGTATTGTTCTGTAGGACTTCCAGACTTCTCTACAAGTTAAAAGGAACAAATGAGAAGGACTTCTTGGACAACGAGATACTGTAGGCAGAACAAGAAGTCCTCAGGGCAAGTGGTAAAAAAAAGAAATGGAAATGGAAAAATGCTGGAAGTAGGACAACAGCTGTCTGGGGCCACTCTGCCAAAGAACTGAATGATGGGGTAGGTGGGATTCTGAGGTGGTTCTTGCTGACCTTCCATTAGGATTGTCCGGGACTTGGCCCACTCCAGCCTTCCATCTGAGGTCAGAAGACCAATTGGAGGCAGCCTGTCTTCCTCGCTCTCCGACATCTTAACTATCTTCCGTAACTGAGTGAAAAGGTCTCCCTCGCTGAGACGCCGGAAATTAATCACCACATCCAAGACAAAGAACTGCCGAGAAAGCATCAACATTAGTGGTGGGAGGAGTGAAAAGATGAGAAAGGGTTAATCTTTGAATGAGGGGACGGCTGGTGTGTGAAGACCATTTTTTCCCTTGCTGATTTAGCTCCTGGAGGCCATTCACCACTTGCTCCTACTTGGCATGGTTTCTTCACCCATCTACAGTATGCACCAACACTACCAGCCTCTGAGCATCACCAAAGCGCATTCAGGTGTGGCCAAAATAAAATTGAACTAGGTATGTTTGTGCCACACGTTAGCCAGCCAGACCCAAGAGACTAGCTGCATTGATTGGTGAAGTCTTGTAACTTGACTTTATATACATTCTTGATCAATTCAACTGAAGAAGTGGATGAGGGGTAGATTATTATTTTTTTTTTTAAAAGTGAGATTCAGATGCCCTCACCTGATTGTTACAAGCCACAATGATATGATCTGGTTCAGGCATGATACTGCTTTTCTGGGACACGAGGGTGTCCTTGGTATGTCCCGGAAGACGATAAGAAGAGAAGAGTCCATAATATTGCTTCATACAAAGAGGATGACCAGACAGTTGTCCACGAGCGAAATCCATAGGGAGCGCATGGCTTGGAGGAACAGAACAAGAGACAAATCATAATGTGCATAAGGGTAGAAAGAAAAGAAATCTAATCAGTTCAATTAGAACCATGATAGATAAAAAGAAATATCAGTAGATGGATGCCAAAGCTGAAAAACCATCACTCTTAACAAGTCCACAGAAACCATGTTCCAACCATATTACCATTCATGAAGGAGCACTGGAGAAAACACAGTAATAGTCAATAATAAGGACCAAACATATCTACTTTTTCCTTGTCTTGTAATGCTCTGCTGGACTTTGAAATCACAGACTGAAAAATATGAATGTGTTGCCATGCACGTAGATGTTCTTCTGCCAGAGAGGACTATGATTTTTTGTGTGTGACAAGGAAGATCTTGTTGTGGATTCCTCGCCAGCCAGTGGACCCGGCAGTTGAGTCTGAGGAATCAGAGGAGGAGGACGGGCCTGGAGTGACTTCAGAGTCAGAGAAAAGCACTGAGGAGCTGCAAGACTTATAGTCTGACGAGGAGCCTGGCCCCTCTACTCGCACTCAGGCTGAGACACAGCTGTGCTGGGAGTTTGAGTTGGACAGTGATGAAGAACAGCTGGGACAAATCCAGGATGCACGAAAGTGCAGGCAAGAAAAGAGAGCAGGACAGAGGAAGGCAATGGGATGGCTCCAAAGGCAAAGGAGAAGGCATTAGGAAGTCCAGCCTTGGCTGCATAATAAAAGGGAAGGTGTGGGAGGTGCTGGTTGCCAAAGGCAACCGTTTGTGTTGAGGAATCGAGTTTCAGTGAACTGTGTTTTGTTTGCCTTGGACATTGACTCATGTCTGTGAACAATAAAAGGGGATTTTTTTTCCCTGCGGTTCCAGCCTGCTTATTGGAAGAGGGGTTTCTCCTTGTGAGCTTAACAAGGACTCACGTAGGCTGGGACAGAACAGATCTTGGATGGACTTAGTCCTTTCTAAAAGGCAGGCAAAATTGCTAGGTCAATGTGATGACTAACTCCCTACAATTTTGGAGAAACTTGAGATGCTAAAATTGATATGGTATCGTGTTAATGTCTCATTCTAAGGACAGTAGAAAAATTAACAGTTACAATGCTTTGTAAGCAACGACTCCTGGAGACCCTTGTAAAAGAAGTTGTGCTAAACTAGGTGGACACAGCAGACTTGATTAATGGTTTGGCAAAATATCATATCACCTGTTCCTCTGGAATAAAGGTTTTTTTTCAGAGTTTCAATTAGAATACTATTGGATAGAATCTGAATATTTCAAATCAAATTGTTGAGTCCCACTGTTGAATCCTTTGAGATGCATTTGAACAAAATCAATTTAAAAGGATTTTTGAGCATAGGTGAAAGCTTCCCCTCCCCCAGATTGTTCTTGCAAATTGAATCAACCCAATTCAACCCTTCAAATCACATCACATCATATTATATGGAGATGATCCAATTTTCAAACAGCTGTGATCAAATTTTTGACTCTGCTTAGACTGATGATCTGAATGGAATGATTTGAATTGTATCCTAGCCAATTCCATAGCCTGGACTGAGGAAGATGTATTGAATGGATCCAAAGCAGGGATGGAAGCGAGTGCATTGTTGAGCTAAAGTGTCATCTAACACAACAGGATCACTCAACACAAGACATAACACATGCAGCCAGATTCAACTGATAATTTTTGTTTGTGCAGTAACGCTAGTGAAGACACACTGGCCCACAATGGAATGAACATGCAAACTTTTCATGCTTTGGCAAATAAATCACATATATTCACAATAACAGCTTAAATTCCATTCCAGGCAGATCTAGCTTTGTTACGCTACTCCATGTTACGACCTCAAGATTTCATAAATCACATCTTCCTCCTTGCAAAGAACTAGAAATGGTTGCCATTTGATGCCAAACTATCATTCTGGGGTGCACAATTTTTTCAGGGCTGAGGGCCACATTGGGCCTTTTGAACATCACCGCTGGAACCATCCTTCCAGGGTGGAGATGAGGCCAAATTAACATTCTTTGCTTTTCATTTTCTTTCATTTTTATTCAACTGACATGGCATTATTATGATGACTTCCAACTGTGTCTTCTATAATTTTCCCCATCCTCTTAAAAAAAAGAAGGATCCAAAATTGTGGAGTCCTTAGGAGGACATGCATATGAAATTGGGGGGGGGGGGTGGAGTTTGCCTTCAGCCCTGGGATCATTCTGGTAGTTCATGCCGCAACCTTGTTCCTGCTCAGAAAATATACGGTTTTTTTCAGATCTTCTAATCTTCTGATCTTTTTTTCCAATCAGTTCCAGAGTCTGGGACTTAAGTCAGATGTGATCATGTTAATTGTCCACAATTTATGGGACTTTCCCCTAAAACCAGTGCATCTAAATTACATCTCCAATTCTCCTCAAGACTAAAACGTGATTTACTTCAGAGAGTGACTTCACTGCTGCGTGAAGTCATCTCAACAAACATTTACTTTTGTCCCTCATTTGAAGAACAGATTCTGTTCATAAGGGACGGTTGGCTTGTAAGGAAGCACAGAGATATTGGTGTATGGTTTGGGAATGGGTAACAGAAATGAGTATGCAAAACATTCAGTATAAGCCTGAGACATTGTTGTTAGGAATTCTTGAAAAAAATGTTAGTAAAGAAGATATGTATTTATTCACTCATGTGGTTACAGCGGCAAGAATTGTATTTGCTCAAAACTGGAAAGCTACGGCTATACCTAGTGAGGAAATCTTAATTCATAAAATTATGCACTGCGCAGAATTAGATAGGTTAACCAAAAGACTTAAAAATCAGGATGAAATGAATTTTTACCAAATTTGGAACAAATTTTATAGATGGTGGGGGAAAAAAATATGGAAGTCATTGTAATGAGATAAATTAAGATTGAGATTAGAGTGATGTTATTGTATAGAGTTTTTATTAGTAATTAATTGTGAATATGAACTGAGAGGTTTGTCAAATCTGATTTACCATGTTCAATGTTTTTAATTTTTTTTTCTTTTCTGCTATTCAATAAAATTAAAAAAAAAAGGGACGGTTGGCTTACCTGTCCAAGAGGGCTTTATAATCCAGAACTCCAGAAATGAGATTGGCCGCAAACCTAGAAGTCAAAATATAGAAGCAAGAAATTATATACACATCACCTTCATCATCATCATCATAGAATTATCACGGTGTTGTTGTTTTTTGCCAGCTGACAATCAAGGAGCAGCAGGCTAGGATATCCGTCAGCATTTATTGATCTTATTACTTCCATTTTTAAATCTTCTCTGAAAGGGAATGGGTGACGTTCTCAGCTAAGTTGTCCTGTAAAGTTGGTTAGATCGCTTGATATGCTGTGCGAACCCAAACCTATGTCTTCTGAATCCAAATCCATTGTTTTAACAATAAATTAAGGAAGTGTATTAATGAGTTTCTTGCACCTACTCAGATTGGGTTACTCCTTGAGTGGGACCCAGCCAGAGTGGTTTAGCAAAAATCCAGGACACAGCTATTTTAATGCTCCCAATTTTCTGTTTTCCCCACAAATTCTTCTTTCAAAAGGATATCTTAAATCTCTCCTTATTTTTTTTTCCCTGAAGGCAGGAAAACAGGATCATGGGTTGCTTGTTTGATTTGGGCTAGTCTTAACTCTGGATGTTTACAGTACTGTGCATGAATGACCAGACTGGCATTTGGGTGCACCCTCTGCTTTTCTCTGAACAATTTTTAAACTATGACTGCCTTATTGCAATTCATATTTGGACAAGACTGTGTCTGGACAGCGTTTTCTGGTTCCTTCTTCTGTCCAAGGTTTCTGTATAGGGCTCCAGCAGGCCAAAAGGTCTTTTCCCAGTCAGGATCTGTGCAAATAACAGAGATGCAAAGCAGAGCAGAAAAAAATAGCTGCCACAATGAAGCTATTCAGTTTGTATCTATAGACAAATCAACATTGATAATGCATGTTTGAAAGATTCTGAAGATGAGCTATAAGATAGAATAGTTCTGCTCAGTTCTGCCTTTCTGTAATTTTATAGTGTACGTCAATAACATTTGCAGATCATATGGTTTAATCAGCATACGTCGGAATCAGGACGGGCTAATTGGAAAACTGAGTCTGAGATGCAAACTCAGATATTACAACAGAACAGAACAGAACAGAGCAGAACAGAACAGAATAGAATAACAGAGTTGGAAGGGATCTTGTAGGTCTTCTAGTCCAACCCCCTACTCAGGCAGGAGACCCTATACCATTTCAGACAAATCATTCTCCTATCTCTTCTTAAAAACTTACAGTGTTGGAGTATTCATAACTTCTGGAGGCAGGTTGTTCCACTGGTTAATTGTTCTAACTGTCAGGAAGTCTCCCCTTAGTTCTAGGTTGCTTCTCTCCTTGATTAGTTTCCATCCTTCCCTTCTTGTCCTGCCCTCAGGTGCTTTGGAGAACAGCTTGACTCCGTCTTCTTTGTGGCAACCCCTAAGATACTGGAAGACTGCTATCATGTCCCCCCTCATCCTTCTCTTCATCAAACTAGACATACCCAATTCCAGCAACCGTTCCTTATATGTTTTAGCCTCCAGTCCCCTAATCATCTTTGTTGCTCTTCTCTGCACTCTTTCTAGAGTCTCAATATCTTTTTTACATCGTGGTGACCAAATGTAAATGGAAGTTATACATAGAACTGTCGTCCCTGTGCCTTATGACAGACTAAGTAAGAAATCAGGCTTTTAAGACTTCCCAAGCATTGAAATTCTTAGACTGTACTCAAAGTAAAATAAGATTAAGCACACAATCATATTAGCAGCTAGAGTAGTGCATTCATCAAAACAGAACAATTTCAATCAATGCATTTACTTAGAATTTCAATATTTTTAAGCTGCCTCTGTACTTTAGAAAATGCTATTTAATTTGACCAGTAACTTATACTCAGGGAGGGCTTGTTATAAAAAGGAGAAATGTATCTAATAACTTTATTGATTTATTTATTTTTAAAAGAAGAGCCTTGGACATTTTTAAAGGAAAAGTCTCCTTTAATCTTGATTTAAGGCAGCTACATGGTGTGGGAAGTCAGCCCCCCCTGCAGAGACAGAGAAAGAAATATTTTTGGAAATATTTAAAAGGCAGAATATATTTTCCTAAAGGATTTTAAAAGCAGAAACCAACACTGCCCCCAAGTCTCTCTGTCCCAAACAGAAACCAAGTCTGCAGAATTGCAGATGTGATAATCTTGTCAGAAAGACTGGAGTCATAAAACTGGGATTAGGAAGAAAGATCCCTAGAATCAACAACTCCTCACACCAAAAATCTAAGAGTCATCAGCCCCAGCCCCAGGAAAGCAGAATATGACCTTTAGGACATAATAGGATTAACCCACCACCATCAGAATACCAGAAAGGCACACTCAAACTCAGATCAAAGTTCATGCCACCGGAACAACTCCAAACAAAGGCTCCAGAGGGTAGAAAAACCCACTCCCTACACGTGCTCTCTCTTTTCTTCCAGAGCCATCTTCCTGTCTGGCTCTCCTCTTCAATAAACTGTAACCTTCTTTCTAAAGCAGTCGCCATGTTGTTTTTTCTTGGCTTGGACTGAACCACGATGAAGACTTTTCCTTCAACAATGGATACGATGAGATGGGGCAGCTTTAAGCAGTTGACTATTCAAATTTAAGTCACCGGCATAGATGTGCTTAATTTATTAAAGTTTAAATCAATTGCTTAAAGAAGACGTGTTTTTTTTTAAGGTCTCTGTGCAAATCTGGGAAGGGGATGCTTTAAAGAGACAATGCACTTGTCTTCCATACTTCTTCTAAATACTAAGATCAAGCTTCTTTTTTGGGGATCAGTCAAGCTTGTTACAGTAGGTGCTGCCTCCTACTGGAACCTCAAACTATTTAAATATCTGGAATTTTTACGCAATGCATTATTAATTGAACAGAATCAAGGGAGGGCCAGGACATGTTAGAAAAGAATTACATAGATCTGTGTCTGAAGATCCCAAGAAACAGGAAAAGATATTTTCCCCAGCTTACTGCTTTCCAAATACATCAATAACTCCTAGAAACCCTGAGGTCCAATATTATCTGGATAGATCAGTCATAAAATAGCTTCTTATGTTCTATACAGTGCTTTTTTCCTAAAAAAAAAAAAAAAAGGTGCCAGAACTCACACATGTCATACAACCCGCCTTGCCTACCCTACAAGGTTCCATCTAAAAAAGGTACTGGAACTCTGTTCTGGACGTTCTATGAGAAAAAAAGCCCTGTTTCTATATATTGTGCCATACTGCTTAAGTTATAATATTAAGACTGCAATGCTAATTATATTTACCTGGAAATAAGCAATGGGACTTATTTCTGGATAATTATTTTGGTTTCCACCTTAACTCCATCAAAGATAAAGGTTTTCTTGGTGTCACTGTGTTAAGGAATACCTATTTTAATTCCAAAATCTTGGGAATAGACCTTAATCCTTGGATTAGCAGTCCTTAAATATACGGATTTGGATTTAGAGACTGTGATTTTGGAATATCAAAGCATGCAAAATTAGTGTCAACGCTGCAAATATTGTATATTCTTGCTTTTGACAATATGCAGAATTGTCTGGTAAATATGGGGTTAATACAGAGCAGAAGGGGGGTTGGGGGTCAAGCCCGGGAAAGAAAGAGGAAGAAAACATTTGACCTTCACACTAATTGGATAATGTGAGATATGACGGCTAATTTAGGGAGGGAACATGCTGATAATTGAACTGCTCAGAGGAAGAGAACTTAGATCCTAGCATCCCTCCGTTGTGCCTGTGCCGACATTTTGTAACAATAAAAGACTTTTAGGAAAATAAATGCCTGGAAGTTCTTTGGAATGTTTCATTAGCCGGAACCACAACATCTAGCCCTAGTTTTGCTGGTCCACATCTAAAGACGCTGCTACCTAAATTGTTTGTTTATCCAAATGATCCCGCAATGATACTCACGATATATGAAAATGTCTAGAAGCCATTTGTGTCACATTAAAATAACCTTCTTTTTCATTAGTTTTTCCTACCGATACCAGTTCAGGTTTTAAAAATCGCTAGCTGAAAACCTCAACCGTTGGCCAAGATCCCTCGACTTTAATTCCTATTTCCACAATTCTGAGCAAGTGGTAATCCAAAGTTTTAGTTGCTCAGACATCGCAATTTGATCACGTCTTCACTGCCAGGCAGGGGGTCACCAGGGCAAAACAGAAACTGACCTTTTGTGAATAGGAGGACCCAAGAGACTGTTTATTGGGGGGAGAGTATGTCATAAGTAGCAGAAGCAATTTCCAGTCTGGTTGATCTTCCCAGATCATTTTAATTTTCAAATCTATAGGCAAGGGCAGACACAATGAATATGTTTTTTTGGGGGGGGGAAATGGATCCTTAGCCTCTGGTTTCTACATGATCAAAGGCCACATTCTCGTCCTACAGTTAATCCATACTCTTTGAGAACAATCCAGTCACTTAGAAGGATTTTTATAGATCTTAATTGATTGGAATATTATAAGAGTAATGGAAAAATATCATAATATCTCTCTTTTTGATATTTGTTTTATCTGTTCCGACAAGCAGGGCAGTGTGTAATGTCTGTGTTTATATACTTACACACACATACATATAACCTCTACTCATTTTTTGTTGTTTTTATCTGCTGGAGCTGTCTGTAGTTTATCTATTTTTATTGCTTTTAGTTTATGTGTCACTGTGATTTTATGATGTTGCTTGTGATTAATCTCACCAGACAATGGAAAATGAATCAGAAGGGTGGGATATAAATTATCGAATGAATGTGAAAAATAACCAAAACAGAGTGATGGCAGAAAAAGCTGCTTTCATCTTTTAACACGGGCTTATTTAAAGCGACACAAAGCAAAATCCTAACATGGTTCGCTCCTTTTAAATTCAGTGGGGCATGCCGGAATCCGGTTGGGCTGCAGCTAAGCTGACATAAATGAAGTTGCTTAACCAATAGGTTGATGTCAGACAGAAAGATGAAGGAGCTGTGGACTCAAAAGTTAAACACAGTATCCCATGAATGAAGGTATGAAAGAATGAGGTTGATGCCTGAGACAATGAATGGAACAGAATGATTTGATATTCTCCCTGTCTACGGAGATTCTTAATCATCCAGGTCACAGTTGTCCCAAAACTGGACTGTTTTTCCTTAAAAAATCCAGCCTGTCTTTTGTCCTCATCTCTGTTGTCCCCATCTTATCTGTTTCTTTAACCACTGCAGTATTAATGCCTTTGCAAACTCTGTCTGCAAGTTACCCCCACCTCATTTCTCCTTTTCTTATCCTCCAGACCCCTGATCATCTTTGTTGCTCTTCTCTGCATTCTTTCTAAAGTCTCAACATTTTTTTTTTACATCGTGGTGACCAAATGTAAATGGAAGTTATACATAGCACTGTAATCTCTGTGCCTTATGACAGACTAAGTAAGAAATCATGCTTTTAAGACTTCCCAAGCATTGAAATTCTTAGATTGTACTCAGAGTAAAATAAGATTAAGCACATAATCACGTTAGCAGTTAGAGAAGTGCATTCGTCAAAACAGAACAATCTCAATCAATGCATTTAATTAGAATTTAATTTAATTAGATTTAATCACCAAATTGAGGCCACCCTCTTGACTTTTTTGATACATCCTCCTGGTGGATGCACCTGATTGGGAAGCCATGGTTCCCAAAATCTGGTGTACAGATAGGTAGACCCAAAAACATAGAATGATTGTAAACCTGAAGAAATTACTTAAAGGTGATTCTACTAAAACCCATTTTTGTTCAGATGGCTGTCCTTCGGTTCTTCATATTTCTTTTCGCGACAGAATAATTATCTATAGAGTAAAGCATAGGTTTCATCGTGGTTTTGAATGCAAATCTGTGGAAGGTGCTTTCAATTCACCTGCATTTCAGAAGTAGTTCATTCAGAAAAAAGGAGGACTTGAAACAGAAATTCAAAATTGGCCATGGAGATGGAGGTTTAAAAAAGTTTAAATATATTTATGACTTTTCTATGCATCGTTTGGTCTGTTGGTCATAAAAGGCTACAGATCTAGCCAGAACAGAATGTTATGGTCTGCAGTGAGTCTTCAGACACTTTACCTCAGTTGGTTATCTGTTTCTTGGAACTGTTGGCGAGCAAAGATAATTGCTGGGCTAGAATTGATGGGAAGAGCTGATCGGTTGTTAAGATACATGTCATCTAGCCAGTATTGCAATACCTACAGAGAGAGAGAGAGAGAGAGAGAGAGAGAGAGAGAGAGAGAGAGAGAGAGAGAGAGAGAGAGAGAGAGAGAGAGAGAGAGAGAGAGAGAGATTGTCTTTTACCATAAGTATCTTTGACTTTCTATTTTTTATTTGTTTGTGTCCCGCCTTTATTATTTTCATAAATAACTCAACATGGCAAACATTTCCAGCATATCTTCCTTTTCCTGTTTTCCCATAACCACCCTGTGAGTGATTGGCCAAAGTCATCCACCTGGGTTTCATGGGTAAGGTGGGACTAGAACTCACCATCTCTTGCTTTCTAACCTGGTGCCTTAACCACTAGACCAGGGATAGGCAGCCGTGGCTCTTTTATGATTCGTGGACTTCATCTCCCAGAATTCCTGAGCCAGCCATGCTGAGGGAAAAGGGAGAGGTTTCCAAGCTGAGCCATGCTGGCTCAGGAATTCTGGGAGTTGAAGTCCACGAGTCACAAAAAAGCCATGGTTGCCTACCCCTGCACTAGACCAAACTGGCTCTCAATTTTAATATTAATGTTCTTTGATGACTACAGGTCTAGAGTAATTCTTCTCTCCCACTCTCAATGTCCCATTGTCTTCAAAAAAGGAAGTCTTTAAATAAACATTTGTCTGCTCTAATAATGCCTCTGTGATATCAGAGCATCTCAGTCAAGTCCACAGAGGGGGGAATAAAGGAGAAAGAAGCTTAAACCCCAGTGTGATCCTAGCCCTTTTCACCTGTCATATGATAAACATGTTTGAAGTTGGAAGGACAGAAGACTTACCCAATTCTCCATTTGTTCATGTCTTTCAAGAAGCTTCTTCTGAAGGAATTCTCCATGGCCTCCTGGTGCCCCAAACGTCTCCACGAGAGACTTTGTTCTTTTATATTGTTCTTCGGTCACCAGATGCTTCATGCACCGAAGGTACATATCTAATGTTTGCTGGAGAGAAGGAACTGGGAGCTTGGGAAGGACCTAATGAAGAAGAGGACAAGCGATTAGTAATTGAATATTCCCACGGTATTTTGTTTTACAAAACTATTTTTTTTGTAGTTGAACTTCAGCCTTGATGTTCTAACCCAAGGGTAGGCAACCTTGGCTCTTTTATGACTCATGGACTTCAACTCCCAGAATTCCTGAGTCAGCATAGCTGTCTCGGGAATTCTGGGAGTTGAAGTCCATGAGTCATAAAAGAGCCAAGGTTGCCTACCCCTGTTCTAACCTATCACACACTTTCTTTCAGGTTCCATCTAGCGCAAGTATCGTCATACTTAGGGAGTTGCCTAGAAGATGTAACTTGCTATAGAGAACAAACCTTTGGCTCTTGAGAATCCCTTGGACTGCAAGGCGATCCAATCAGTCAATCCTAAAGGAAATAAATCCTGACTGTCCTTTGGAAGGACAGACACTAAAGCTGAAGCTCAAATATTTTGGCCACCAGATGAGAAGAGGGGACTTCTTGGGGAAGACCCCGATGATGTTGGGAAAGATGGAAGGCAAAAGGAGAAGGGGATGGCAGAGGGTGAGATGAGCATGAATTTGGGCAAACTCAAGGAGACAGTGAAGGATGGGAGGGCCTGGGGTGCTGTGGTCCATGGGTTCACAAAGAGTCAGACATGACTTAGTGACCGAACAACAACAACAACAACAAATAAACCTCCATGCAGAATGGAGCCAAATTATTCTATCCCATTCTAGCTTTGGAAAAAACAAAAACAAAGAGACGCTTTGATGGTACAAATGCTAGCAGATCACTGTGTTGTATTTTGCAACTCTCCAAGGTGCACAATTAATCTACCCATCTCTAAACCTTGATATAGAAAGAGGAGAGTTTGCAAATAGATAGAAACCAACCCTTGTAATTTCTTTTCTTTTTTCTTTTTAAACACATTTTTTAATTCTTAAGAAAAAGGACTCAGAACACACCGTAGTGTTTGGGTAATCAAACATTCAAAGGTGAAAACATATATAAACAACTGAACACAATACATTCACTGTCCCCTCTCTATTTCCCTCAAAGAGTAGCATAATACGTTTAAAATATTCCATTTCTAATTTAAATTTCTATTACTGCTAAACCTGTTTTCAAACTTTGTCAGTTTACAATTACCATAATCAAATTTAACTTTAAATCAATGTTATCAAATCAGGTATCCCTTCCAGATATATTCTAAATTCTTAATCTCTCACATCCCTAATTTTATCACATGGTAATTTCTAATGGTGAACTTTCTTGTTTAATTGAGATAGCAGAGAAAAATATAAGGCGGTTTCCCTCTGCTTGATTTTTTTCAGTGTTAAACCTGTATTGGGGGTGGGGTGGGGTGAATGGCTAGATTTTAGCAGAAGTTTAAAGAAAAATCACTATCAAAATAAGTTTACAGTTTTATAAAAATTAGAAAAAGAAAACAGGTGGAGCTTCTATCATTCCATTAAGGCCAACCTGTTGACTTTTACTGAGCATATCTTGCTAGAAATTCTAGGAATTTCTCATCTAAGAGAGAAAAAGAAAAGAAATTATTTTTAATTGTAAATCTTAAGGGACATCTGGACAAATGAAGTTAAAATGTTTGAGAGGATGGACGAAGAAGAGACATCCTAAGCATTTCTTTCAATCTAGAAAGGACCCACATCCATCCCTTGACTTTGACCTTGAAGCTTTAGGGTTGATGGTCTAAAAGTCTTGGTTGTCTTCTTTGCCATCTTTTGCTTTTCTGGGGTGGGGTGTGGTGGGGGTTAAGTGGGGAGGGTGATATCCATTGATTTCTAGGTAAACATCTATAGAATTGTTCAGTACATCCATAATCCTAATCTTAATTGATCATCCTTCTCCTTGTACCCTTCACATTCATCTCTTTTCTGCAGATAAGTGGCTTGTTGAATTTTTGAAGGCAACTTCACTCATTTCGCCCACGAAGAGGAACAATGTGATAACTGTCCCTCTAAACCAGATGTTGTTCAAACTTTGGCAACTTTAAGACTTGTGGACATCAACGCCGGGAATTCTAAGAGTTGAAGTCCACAAGACTTGAAGTTGCCAAGGTTGGACATCCTTGATTTGAAACAGCGGTTCTCAACCTGTGGGTCGCGACCCCATTTGGGGTCGAACGACCATTTCACGGGGGTCGCCAAACAACGCAGTCTGCCATTTTTCCCCCCTTTTCCTTAGCTGTGCTACTCCCTTTTATTCTATTGGCTTTTGAAAGCCAATAGAATAGACTCTCTTGAATAGAATCTAATTCCATTGGCTTTCAAAAGCCAATAGGAATTGTCCAGGCTGTCTCTGCCCTGCTGAGCCCGCCAGAAGTCCCAGTCTGCAAACAGTGCTGCAAGTTGTCTGCAGCGAAGGCGAGCTGTCTGGAAGTTTCCACCCCTCCCTACTGAGCAACTACTAAAAATGTAAGTAAAAGAGGGCCAAGGGTGGAAGGTGGGAGGCCGGCAGGCGCAGGGAGGGTTGCTGGCACGCATGGGGCCCGGCGGGTGCCTTACCTCCCTTGGGCTGGGCTAGTTGGTAGCCCAGCCAGTGGTCGCCCTGTGCCGTCTCTGCCGCTTGCCAGCTACGCCTCAGTCGGCACAGGGGGCGGCACCACGCATGCGCGGGGCTCCCAGGCAGGGAAAGTCCTCGAGTTATGACCGGTTAGGAGTCACGGCATTAAAAAGGTTGGGAACCACTGATTTAAAGTCTTGTTCACCCCACTGATGCCTCTTTCCATCACTCACCATCTCATCTTGGCTTTGTGTGCCAATTTCCTTCTTGGCTGTGATCTTCTCTAGGATGGGCATTTTGAGTCTTCTCTAGAGCTTTTCAACAGATCGCAAAACCTGAAATATATATACAGTATATTTATATTGTCAATAATATCATTAAAAATACGATTCCTGGGTATATTCATACTACAAAAAAACGAACCAAACCTGAACACCAGGAAAAATTTTAAACCAGAAATGTTTAATAAACAACAAGCTTTCGTTGGAAACTACCGACATCGTCGGGGTTTAATGCCAGTCAATGGGAGTGCCCTTTATAGGATTGGTCAATGTCTGCACCCGGCTCCTGGACCTTGTCACCGGTCCCGGTTGACTAAGCTGTGTTTTAAGCGTTGGTTATAGCGGCAGAATGGTAGTTGTAACCAATGTTAAGGATACACTTAAAACACAGCTTAGTCAACTGGGACTGGTGACGAGGTCCAGGAGCCAGGTGCAGACATTGACCAATCCTATAAAGGGCACTCCCATTGACTGGCATTAAACCCTGACGATGTCGGTAGTTTCCAACGAAAGCTTGGTTATTTATTAAACTTTTCTGGTTTAAATTTTTTCTTGGTGTTCAAGTTTGGTTCGTTTTTTTGTAGTATATATTTATATGTATATAAAAATAGAAAAAGGAAGCAGAGATCAACTTAACATTGCAACGCTTGGGTCAGGCATTACATACCTGGATAAACTATTAGCAGTTATAATCTTCATAGAGGAAAATCTAAGGAATAAACTTTTCCAGATTAAGAACATTTCTCCCTAATCTAGAACTAAATCGCTCTTGCGCCTCCTTTTTTGTTGCCCTCTAGTTGCGATGGTTGAGAAGCTAGAAAGCAGAAGGTGAACCCTAAAGTATTGCAGGTGACAAATAATAGCCATTTCCTATTTTCCCCCTTCCAATTTGTGTTATCGTATGCTTAATTTGGGGGTGGTGGTGGTCCTTATTGGTAGGAAGGGAAATGAAACCCCACCAAATTCTCTTTGATCAGCAATTTGTTCTGGTGGTGGAATTGGGCACTCCAAGGTGAAAGGCTAATGCATCAAGTGATAGGTCCCTTCTACTCTGTTGATATTATTTGCTAAATATCCTTTCATTCTTGATAGCAGCATATATCCCCCGGATCTTATCTTATCTTATCTCATTTTATCTCATCTCATCTCATCTTATTTCACCTCACCTCACCTTATATCTTATATCTTATATCTTATCTTATATCATATCTTATACCTTGTACCTTATAGCTTGTATCTTGTATCTTATATCATGTCTTGTATCTTATATCTTGTATCTTATCTTATATCATATCTTATAGCTTGTACCTTATACCTTGTATTTTGTATTTTGTATCTTGTATCTTGTATCATATCTTGTATCTTATATCTTATATCTTGTATCTTATATCATATCTTGTATCTTGTATCTTATATCTTGTATCTTGTATCTTATATCTTATCTTGTATCTTATATCTTGTATCTTATATCTTATATCATCTTATCTCATTTTATCTCATCTCATCTCATTTCACCTCACCTCACCTTATATCTTGTATCTTGTATCTTATATCTTATCTTATATGATATATCTTATACCTTGTACCTTATACCTTGTATCTTGTATCTTGTATCATATCTTGTATCTTATATCTTGTATCTTATATCTTGTATCTTGTATCTTATATCTTGTATCTTATATCTTATATCATCTTATCTCATTTTATCTCATCTCATCTCATTTCACCTCACCTCACCTTATATCTTATATCTTGTATCTTGTATCTTGTATCTTATATCTTATATTTTATCTTATATGATATATCTTATACCTTGTACCTTATACCTTGTATCTTGTATCTTGTATCTTGTATGTTATATCTTGTATGTTATATCTTATATCTTGTATCTTGTATTTTATATCTTGTATCTTATATCTTATATCATCTTATCTCATTTTATCTCATCTCATCTCATTTCACCTCACCCCACCTTATATCTTATATCTTATATCTTATCTTATATGATATATCTTATACCTTGTACCTTATACCTTGTATCTTGTATCTTGTATCTTGTATCATATCTTGTATCTTGTATGTTATATCTTGTATGTTATATCTTATATCTTGTGTCTTGTATCTTGTATCTTATATCTTGTATCTTATATCTTATATCATCTTATCTCATTTTATCTCATCTCATCTCATTTCGCCTCACCTCACCTTATATCTTATATCTTGTATCGAGTATCTTATATCTTATCTTATATCATATCTTATACCTTGTATCTTGTATCTTATATGTTGTATCTTGTATCTTGTATATTGTATCTTATATCTTGTATCTTATATCTTATATCATCTTATTTTATCTCATCTCATCTCATTTCACCTTACCTCACCTTATATCTTATATCTTGTATCTTGTATCTTGTATCTTATATCTTATATTTTATCTTATATGATATATCTTATACCTTGTACCTTATACCTTGTATCTTGTATGTTATATCTTGTATGTTATATCTTATATCTTGTATCTTGTATTTTATATCTTGTATCTTATATCTTATATCATCTTATCTCATTTTATCTCATCTCATCTCATTTCACCTCACCTCACCTTATATCTTATATCTTGTATCTTGTATCTTGTATCTTATATCTTATATCTTATATCTTATCTTATATGATATATCTTATACCTTGTACCTTATACCTTGTATCTTGTATCTTGTATCATATCTTGTATCTTGTATGTTATATCTTGTATGTTATATCTTATATCTTGTGTCTTGTATCTTGTATTTTATATCTTGTATCTTATATCTTATATCATCTTATCTCATTTTATCTCATCTCATCTCATTTCACCTCACCTCACCTTATATCTTATATCTTGTATCTTGTATCTTGTATCTTGTATCTTGTATCTTATATCTTATATCTTATCTTATATGATATATCTTATACCTTGTACCTTATACCTTGTATCTTGTATCTTGTATCATATCTTGTGTCTTGTATGTTATATCTTGTATGTTATATCTTATATCTTGTATCTTGTATCTTATATCTTGTATCTTATATCTTATATCATCTTATCTCATTTTATCTCATCTCATCTCATTTCACCTCACCTCACCTTATATCTTATATCTTGTATCTTGTATCTTATATCTTATCTTATATCATATCTTATACCTTGTATCTTGTATGTTGTATCTTGTATCTTATATGTTGTATCTTGTATCTTGTATCTTATATCATATCTTGTATCTTATATCTTATATCTTATATCTTGTATCTTGTATCTTATATCTTATATCTTACATCATCTTGTCTTGTCTTATCATCTCTTCTCCTCTCCTCTCTCCTTCCCTTCCCTTCCCTCTCCTCTCTTCCTCCTCTCCCTTCCCCACATCTCCCCTCCCCTTTTTGCCTCTCTCCCTCCCCACTTCTCCCATTCTTCCCCTCCTTCTGCTCCCTACCACTCTCCTCTTCTCCTCTCATCCCATCGTCTCTCTCTTCTCTCCCCTCGTCCTCTTCTTCTCTCCCCTCTCCCCTCCCCTCCCCTGTTATCTTAACTCCAACGTGCAGTTTTTCCCCCTTCTTTTTGGCTCTTTCTGTTGAAAGAGAAGAGACAACCACGTTGACACAAAAGCCAAGGTCTAAATCAGCAGCCATCAAACCGATGCATTGAGCTGCAAAACAGGCTAGTAGGGAAGCGAAGGTGGAGCCTTCTATGAAAAAAGAGAAGAAGACCTGTCCATTACTGTCTAATTGCTGCGTCGAATGCCTCCCAGCCAAATGTCAAATACAACATGGACCTATTTCTCAAGGATGCCATGCTGCAGAAGACTTAATTATGCCAAATGTTCCACAGAGGGCTTTATGGCCACTTCTGCCCAGATGATTTAAGGGGTCAGGCCATTTGCCTAGGCATCAAATTAATGCTGACCGATTTGATTACATTGAACTTCCTATGCTCCATCCTGCCAGTGGACCCGCCATGGGGAGATTGACATTTATGGGGTCCCGTGGCCTTTGCAGTCCTTCAAAAGCAAAGAGTAATCTGCGACAAAGGAAGAGGGACCTTCCCACTAGGGACAGGGCAGATTGATCGGACTTTAAATCACGGCTCTAGTTCAATTCAGTGTGGCTGGTTTGCATTAGTCCCCCAGTTGTAAAGGAAAAAAAAAAAAGACATTCTGAAAACCTTAATACAGTAGATACAGGAAACAATTTTATGCAGGCTTCAGTGGGAAGAAACAGTTATTTATGGTTTGCAGAATAAAAAGAAGAAAGAAAGAGATGGAGACAGAGAGCGAGATGGAGAGAGAGAGATGGAGAGAGAGGGGGAGAGAGAGAGGAGAGAGAGAGAGAGATGGAGAGAAAGAGAGATGGAGAGATGGAGAGAGAGATATGGGGAGAGAGAGAGGGAGAGAGAGAGAGAGAGATGGAGAGAGAGATGGAGAGAGAGAGATGGAGAGAGAGAGATGGAGAGAGAGGGGGGAGAGATAGAGGAGAGAGAGAGAGATGGAGAGAGGAAGAGAGAGAGAGATGGAGAGAGAGATGGAGAGAGGGGGAGAGAGAGGAGAGAGAGAGAGATGGAGAGAAAGAGAGATGGAGAGAGAGAGATGGGGAGAGAGAGAGATGGAAAGAGGGAGAGGGAGAGAGAGAGATGGAGAGAGAGAGAGATGGAGAGAGAGAGATGGAGAGAGAGATATGAGGAGAGAGAGAGATGGAGAGAGGGAGAGGGAGAGGGAGAGAGAGAGATGGAGAGAGAGAGATGGAGAGAGAGAGAGATGGATAGAGAGAGATGGAGAGAGGGGGGAGAGATAGAGGAGAGAGAGAGATGGAGAGAGGAAGAGAGAGAGAGATGGAGAGAGAGGGGGAGAGAGAGAGGAGAGAGAGAGATGGAGAGAGAGAGATATGGGGAGAGAGAGAGAGAGAGAGAGAGAAATGGATGTATTGCCAAAGACAGGAGTTTAAGATGGAGAAAGGAAAGGAAATAAACGGTATTATAAATAATTGTGCCATTCCAGCTGGGGCATTTCTTATTTTCAATG